CATACGCCCCCAAGCTCTTGGTGACGTGTAGATCCACCATCTTCGGGGAGCACCCCACTTCGTGAGTTAATTCTCCTGCAGGGTAGTCCACATCGTTTGGACGCCCAAGATCTTCATGCGTAATTTCTTAGCATAGGAGTTGAGCAATCAAGGTTCCGGTTGCTCCTGTATCAGTAAGCACGGAGTGTAACGGGTTTTGGTTTCCTTTTTCTCGCTGTTTAAATCTAACATAGACGATGGGTTGAGGTCTCTTGTCTTGCGGACGTTTACGAGGTGGTTGGCCACGGACGAGGTTAACGAATGCTAAATAGATCATCAGAGTCAGTTGAGCAGCTTCTAGGCAATCATCTAATTTGCCGTAGAGTTCATCAGTTGCAAACAATTCTTGTTTACTAGTTAGTGAGATATCTTCATCACTTTGGTATGAGAAATCGGAACATGGTTCCGTTGAGTCATCATCCTGGCCTAATCCTCAGATAGAGATTCTCCATCCAAGTGATTGAAATTGATAGAGGTTGTCCTCATTGTCAGATCTTCTGATTTGCGCTTGGCACATGGTTGCGAAGTTTGCAAGTGGTTGCACGAGTATCGTCGATAACGTTTTCTCCGTCATTGGTCGACGAGAGGAAGAATGGGTTTGTCACGCAACTGTTTTTCGAAGTTGCGGAACGCATGCTTTCCTTAGCCATCTTCATGGTAAGGAATAGGTTGAGGGTGCTGAAAGCTATTGTGTTTTGTTAAAAAAATGCACTACGCTAAAAGTAGTGTAAAGATCTTTCGAGTGTTTTGAGTTTGAGAATGAAAGTTATGAGAGAGATTAAAAGCTATGAAAACTAAAACGAGAGATCATCCAAGGGTCGTAGATCTGGCTCCCCGCGGGAGACTATAAAGTGTGATAGAGCAGGTTGTGGTAGTAATCCTACGTCTCTCCACGATCCTAAAACGGAACGCGTGGAAGGTTTGTCTAGCCTGGATCTAGTAGCGTGGAAGTACTCCACGCTGGCTAAATATCTAGAGCGATGTTTCATCATCGACCTAGTATGACTAGCGCGGTCATTGAGAACCCTGTCTCAAATGACTATTCACGAGAGACTCAGTCATGAGTCGAACTCAAACCCTATCTAGGATCGAGTCGCGAATAAGGCTAAGAGCCGTGTATTGCAGAGTTGTTGCGGATCTACGCTCAGTGCTTGGGGTAAGGCATTTCTAGTGCGGTGTCGCTGGTGTCTCCTTGCCCAAGTTCAATTGCTTTGGATCCGTCACCTGTAACTGTACATCTATCATCAAAATAGTTCTAACTAGATGAGTTAAGGAGCGAGGGGGGGGGCTCTGCTGGGCATAGCAGGGCATCAGTGGTGGGACATCTATGCCAATGCTAGCTACCGGTAGCTAGTACAAGGATCACAGCCGCACAGGCAAAAGCGAAAGTTGAGGGTAAAATGAACCTTTAAAGTAGGCCCGCCGGTGGTGACCGGCTACATGGCCAACTAACTGTTAAAGATTTTCACCCACTGAACTGAGACGTCGGAGAGTTCTACCAGCTCCGGTGCCTTTCATTTAGTCCTGTTCCTTGAGCAGCGTCAGCCGGCTGTGCTGGCTACGTCAAATTCCTTTTTGCGGAGGCAGCTGTTCGGCCTTTCCGATCACGTACCGGTATCGCGCATAGCGCTGAAAGGAAGGGGGTTTGATAGAGCAGGGATCGAGCCTATCTTCCCTGTCGCCGATGCATCGTCAGCAGATACACATGTGAGCAAATAAGCGACTTTGATAGTAAAGAAACAAGGGCAACTTCTGCGAAGACTGATATGTCCGATCCTGATCTAGCGACTTCGAGGTTGCCGACACCAGCAGAAAACCGGCAACATAATGATGCCCTTGCAATACGGTCGGGTGTCGAGATGATGGAAGACACTGTTTCGTTGTCGGCCACCGCAAATATAAATACCGGTACTGATGACATCCACTCCAACCAAACTGCTACGGGCTCTGTTGAACTTACCCGCCTTCAAAACAAAACTACCAACCACATAGAATTAGTAGTCACTACCGTGGCTGCGGAAGGAGGTGTTTTTGGTCCGGATCTGTTCGAGCAGCTGTTGGAGCTACCGGAACCTATCCCAACAAGGACCCCACAACAAAGAAGAATCCCAGGGGCTTTCCACATGGATGGTTTCCCAACCAATCATCAGGATGCCCAACGCAATGAAGTTGCTACAGAGAACCAGCAGAGCGAAGATGGCAGAATTCCAAGTAATCCTCCTGTTGCCAGTGGCTTGGATATACAGGACACAGATTCATTGCCCAGTACTGAATATTTTTTCAAAAGGAGTAAACATTACTGGCGGCAACGATTGTGTCTTGGGTTTTCGGTTGAGCTCAATGTGCTTCTGCTGGGAATTTTCATATTTGTTGTGGTTTTCCTCATCAGTGCAGACGGAGGAACCAGTACCACCAGTGAATCAAGGCAAAGCAACAATATTGGAGCTATCCGTATTCCTACAGCAGCTCCAGGTCCAACCCAAGCGCCAAATCCCTTTTTGGACACGCTCAATCTACCGAACTACACGGTGAATGCCATCAGGGAACACCCAAGGTCCCCTCAGTCCAATGCATATGAGTGGCTTGTCAGCAACAGAACGAGCCTTGCACAAGTTCCAAAATGGAGAATGACCCAAAGATTTGCTTTGGCTACGTTCTTCTTCTCCACTAGGGGAGACTTTTGGGTGAATCATCATGGCTGGCTAGACTGGGAAGTACATGAGTGCAACTGGGAACAACGATCATTTAATCCTCGCTACATGCAGTGTGATGATTCTGGGCATATAAAATCTTTGTCCTTTGTTGGAAACAAGCTAGATGGAACCATTCCACCAGAGCTATCCCTTTTGAGTGCAGATTTGGAGCTTCTGGATTTGTCAGGGAACATGGAATTGAAAGGGCAGATCCCAACGGAAATTGGATTTCTATCGAAGCTGACTGTTTTGCGAACATCCAATACAGAACTTTCAGGTACAATTCCTACAGAGCTGGGTCTCCTGTCAGATTTGAGGTCACTTGAGCTTGGGGGGACTGGAATTTTTGGAACTGTTCCCACGGAACTGGGCAATTTAGGTTGCCTAACACATGTGGTCATGGTCATGACCCAGCTGACAGGTACGCTTCTACTGTGTGTTGCAACTTAGCATGCATTTGTGATCGCTAATATGCTGAACTCTACATACCGTCACCAGGCACAGTCCCTTCAGAACTATTCAAACTAATAAACTTGAGATACTTTGGAATACACGATTGCCCTCTACTAGCCATGGAGGCAGTTCTGCCCAAAGTTGTTGAAAGCTTTCCGCAACTTGAGTGGCTCATGCTAACCAACACGGCTGATGATGCCGATGCCCAAATACCCAGTAAGTTATCTTTTGTTGCAAGAGAAAGGCATCTATCTCAATTTCACTAATCTCTGTACATCAAGCTGAAATTGCAAGGATGTCCAAGCTTACGATGTTGTACCTTAAAGAGTTGAACCTTCAAGGGTCGATTCCAAGCCAACTTGGGCAATTGACACAGCTAGTAAGTAAAGCTATCAGATAGATTGGTTCACTAGAAAGAGATATGCTTACAGTTTCTTTGCTGCCCTTTCTTCTTTTTCATAGGCTTCTCTAAACCTACGGGATAATTCTCTTTCAGGCCACCTTCCACCAGAATTATCAAAGCTAAGCAGTAAGTCCTCTAGTCAGGGAAGTTTTGGCAAAACCGTTAGCTTAGTTCACCATCCGTGTACTTTTTTCATGCAGACTTGACTTGGCTAGACATCAGTTCCAACCAGCTAGAGGACGAGCTCCCACCAGGTTTGTTTTCAAGCCTGACTGCATTGGATGTGCTTTTCTTGAATGGGAATAGAGTCATTGGCACCATTCCAAGTGAGATTGGTCTCATGTCCAACCTTCTGCAGTTACAACTGCAAGACACAGGCTTGTCTGGAACACTACCCACAGAGCTCCTTGCCTTGACCAAGTTGAAGACCCTAGTAGTCACCAATACATCCTTGTCTGGCAGCATCCCTATTGAGCTGTGTGGCATGATGCGTGGTTATGAAAGGAAATGCCATGAAGCTCATGGCTGTACTGCCAAAACGACCAACACGAATGTGTGCCAAGGCAACTCACTGTGTGGATGCAGCTGTGATCCATGCCGATGAATGCACTGCTAGAGACAAGCTTTTCAAGCCCACAAGGCGTGCACGTGGGAAGAAGTGTCTGGACCTGTGTTTTGGCGTATACTGGCAACAAAGGAGATCTGCTTATCTTGGCTGAGACCGAGCTAGAAAATGTGCACCTAAAACTGCGTATGGTGGAACTATTTCTCTCCATAGCTGGATAGCTGATAGGTAGCTGGCTAGAAAAGCAACATGCATACCTGTGCCGCAGACCACTCACTTGCTCAGACCAACAGCCAGGCAGCGGGGAGAACTTAGACTTAGCTCAGTGCTTGGGGTAAGGCACTCCTAGAGCGGTGTCGCTGGTGTCCCAAGTTCAATCGCTGCGGATCCGGCACCTGTAGCCGTGCATCGATCGATACCAATGCTAGCTAGCCCAAAGCAAGTCCCAGCCGCACAAGTAAAAGTTGATACTAAAATGAACCTTTGAAGTGGTAGGTCCGCCGGCGGTGACCCGTTCGCTTTGCACGAGGGGTTGGAAGATTTTGTTTTTCGCCAAATAACACGAATTGCGATTTGCCATGGAACTCTAACGTAACGATGTCCTAGTACATGGTTTATGACAAGTATGCATGTATGATCAATGATCCTCTACTGTAGTGTATAGCTCTCGCGCGATGTAGCGGAACAAAAACGAGCAGCTTTCTTTCTTGGAAGGAAACGAGGGTGAAGACGGCGAGGCATGATCGCCAGAGAAACCCGTGGCCCTTCTTTCGGTGCGACTTGCTGCGATGCGAATGTCGGCATCTCAATGCTGTGTAGTTTTGCTTTTCGCTGGATCAAAACCTCTTCAAGCCCAAAAATGTTGAATAACCGAATCAATCTCCAGTCGACAAACTGGGCACTGCAAAACGAGCATACATGAGACGATTGGGGCCATCATCGCGACAAAAAGCCAACCATTCACAACACTTACTCGATCGCCTCGTGCTTTTAATATACGAGCACACACCAAACAGCACGCAATGTGCCCCGTTTCTCCGTGAACAATCGTGGCATTGCGTTCCTCCGTCAAACAAATCAAACACGTGTCCGTGGTAGGTTGTCGACCACGCGACGGAGCATACGTAGTGGTTGACTTTTTCGGACGCTGCTGATGATGATGATCCGACCCACTGCTACTCCCAATGGACGAAATGTCACCACTCGAACGCATGGGTGTGGATGCCGATTCTTCTTGTTGTCGCACGTATTCGGCCTTGAGTACATCCCAATGAAAGTCTCCGGGATGGTGTGGAGTAAATCGGGAATCGACACCGACCAATTCCACCACGCACTTGTTATCGGGCGGCAGCTGATTGAGCCGGACACTGATCCATCCGGCGGTATGACGCCCCCCGGCCAACTTTAATCGTTCCACGCATTGATCCTGGGGATGCTCCGAAAATTGTCGCTTGACAATGGTCAGTAACGTGCCCTGCGGTGCGTGGCCGATTTGTCGCGACGATAATTCGACTTGTTCTCGAATGACGGCTCCTTCGGGCAATGTCACACGGTAGACGGCGGGTACCGGAAACGGCAATGGCTGCACGACATGTCCTCGTTGTCCCGAAAGCGGATTTAAAAATTCCGAACACCATCCTTCGACTGGTTCGGTCGCATTTTTGATGGAGGATTGTGCCACGACCCGTAATCGAGAGAGTCCCATGCGATTGACGGTTTTTCGTGTGACTTGGACAAAGGATCCAAAAGGAATGGTGCACGTGTGGTCGGACGACAATTCGAGTCCAGAGCGTAAATAGGCTCCGACTTTGCAGGTGACACGCCACCACCATACTTGTGGGTCCATGTAGAGAGAGGGAATCCCAGGTACCATAAAGGCATATCCGTGTACGCTGTACACGCAATATCCAATTTTGGCAGCTTGTTGTTGTTGCAGTTGTTGTTGTTGTTGCTGCTGCTGCTGTGATCGTGTTCGCGCTCGCTGTCGTTGTTGTTCATTGTTAGCATTATTGTTGTTGTTGTTGTCTCCTGGAGGCGTAATCAAATGCAAATCATCCTGCAGTGACGGAGGTGGCGGATTGTTGTTATTATTATTGGAAATTTGAACTTCCAAGACTTGAATACATCCAATCGATGGAGCCAGGGGTGGCGCAGCATTCGTTCCTTCCTCCTCTCCATCAACTAGCACGACTTCAAGTGACTCCGAATCGAGTGTGTACAATCGTGTGGCCATGACGGTGGATCCTGGCGGCAACGATCCTAGGCTTTGTCCCGTCACGACGGTCCCCGCTTGGATCCGGGGCAAGGCATCCCAGAGGCACAATTGACCGGAATCAGAATGTAACCACCAATCCGTTTCGGTGCGCAACGGTTCTTGCGAGTGTTGTCGTTGTTGTTGTCTCCATTCGAGTCGTTGGTTGCGTTGTTGTTCTCGGATGGATTGGGTCCATTCTTGAATGGCTTGTTCTTGTTTGGGACGCCTGTAAATTTGGGTGGTACGGGTGGGTGTGGGGGGTGGTTCGGTAGAGGATCCCGAGGATAAGACGACAAAAGCATCGTCGGGAGACTGATGAGACGATGAATTGGGACTGCTGGGTGTCGTAGTGTTAATCGTTGGTCTCGTGGCAGTAGTTGGAGCTGTGGGTTGTCCTAGGATGGGATTGTTGAGAACAAGAGGAGTATTGTGTTGAGCTGCGAGCACATGGTTCAAGACCAGATTTCCACTTAACATACGTGAAACCCCAGGAGCTGTGGTGGTGGTTGTGTTTGTGGTGGTGGTGGTAGCAGGTGCCACGGCAGTGTTGGTTGTAGTGGTGGTTGTCGTGAGGTTTGCGTCTGGTCGGAAATGGTCTTCTTCCAAAGGAGGTACTTCCTCTCCAGCGGGTGTTTCGGTTTCCATTGGCTCGGCTCCTTCGTCGTCTTCTTCGTCTTCTGGTTGATATTCGGGACAAGATTCGATCGTATTGGGCAGTCCATCACCGGAAATGCCTTGGAGAACCACAAAGCAGCCGGGTAGAAACAGTTGATGGGGAGATGCCCGAATGCTCTCATCCGTCGTGATATCCGAGAGTTCCATGGTTTGGTTTCTGTGAATTCTCCTGTGTATAGTGGGATCAATAATGGCAATAATTATTTGCTAGATTCTCTCTTTCTTGTCTCGTTACACGTGGATAATAGGTTGAAATTGAGGGTTGCACAAGATACCCTCAGGATACCGGAATATACCTCAATGTGAATATCACTTTCAACAGAGGTAAGTAGCACCTGCAATCTCCCAGGTGGAGGAGGGAGTGGATGGAACAGAAAGCCAGATACGGGTAGATCTGGACACCCCAGACGGAACGTTATCGTGGTGCCACGAATCAATTCGGCTCTATACGCTTGCTTGAGAAGGCCACCGCCACTGCTAGCTAGCTAGATACCCTCGTTTTAGCTCTTTTTTCTTTTGCCTCGGATTATGATGACAACCGAAACGTCTGTTCTCTATTACTTGTCTTGCCTTGTCTTGTCTGCTTCTGACAGCGCCCAATCAACAACAGAGAACAGTTCCAGTTGTGAGAAGCAGTCCTGCAGCCATGGATTGTGGAAGACGAGTGTGCTGCAGACATACATCAAGCACAAAGATTTCTTTCGGTATGATGTCAGCAGCGTCTCAGAGAATAAATAAAAGCATGTTTGGGACTCGACAGAGATCAGAGCACGACTCGACTGGAAGGTATGAAAGGCATGACAGTATACGGTATATACTGTATGTCTCTTGGACCCAGTCCAATGAATGCCTTGGAGTTTGGAGTGAGTCGAGTCGATCAAGTCAGCTTGTTATTATCGACCTTCAGCAAGTCTTCCTCCTTTGATCCTCCCCGCCCTCCTACATTACCACCCTCTCCTTGGTTTCAATGTTGCCCTGCTTGCAACCTCATTTTTTTGCTCGAGTTCCTGCATCCTACCTCCCCTCTCTGCACCCCATCCTCACCATAGTTCTCTCTAACCCATAGTAATTTCCCCGATCATCATATATAGGTTGTTTTTAGAGTAGGGAAGTTATCTACACAAGCTGACGGTGCGGGGCAGGCTTTGGCAAAGAAGGGGTGGCGTTCAGGACTAGCTAGCAGAGCAACAGCACAACCAAACTTGTTGATGATCATGCAACTTGTTGATGATCATGCATGCTCACTATACTTTTTACGCCGGAAGACTCTCCAGTTTAATTGTTTCTTGGAAAAGGTGACAAAGATCGGAGCACAAAACTTCAAATCCATGGCTCTTTGAAACATGGTCCGTTGAGTCGATCTCTCAGGAGCCAAGTATTTCCAAACCAACATCTGGACTTCAGCCGGGAGAGATGCAGTGGCCTGATTCACACACCACATGGTTTCGGCTATGGCCCGAATTATAGACGCAGCACGGCACTGAACAGCCTCCACGTTGGGAAACCAATCTGTACCGGTACTATCGAGTACCTTGACAGACTTGCAGAATCTCAATCTGAGAAGAGACCCTGCAAAATGTTCCAAAAACGTCATCGACCACGGTCACAGCAAATTTCCACGGCTTGGCAACTTTATGCATCTGAACTGGCTTACCGATATGGTTGGAGAGCTTTTAATTAAAAACCCCTGTCGTCGCCATGTCGCCATTAGACTAATAATTGCTGCTAGGGGGTGACATTTATTAATTAAAGAAAGCTTGAAGCGTTAAGTGTATTAGTGCCGGTAACTAGAAAAGCCACTTGGCGGTCTTTTTTCCAGTCCCTCGAGAACTGGCATGTACCAGATGTCTGGTACTGGTTCAATGCAAGTGCCACATGCTTTCGACGTGTCACGGTTATTCTAGTGTATCGCTTTATCGCTTTCTCCGAATTGACGGCAGAGGGTGCTCATAAGTGCCACATGCTTTCGACCTGTCACGGTTGTTTCAGTGAGCTTTCTAGCTAGTGTATCGCTTTCTCCTAATTGATGGCACAGAGTGCTCTTCGTTGATGCCGTCTCTGTCTGCGTGTCTTCTTCCAATTGCCAAAAGGGGAACGGCTACTTAAAATTCGGCTTGCGGTCATTTCTCGAAGGAGACGATGGTCAACGGAAGCCATCGAACTGCATGGCGTCACCGGGCTATTTGCACCATGGCAAAAAACCAAAATTGCATGATTGTGCCACATCGCAGACCAGTAAAACAAAAGAATGGCGAAACCCAAAGGCAGCAATGACATAACCGGTAGCTTTGAGGCTGAGGATCAGCAGTTTCTCCGTGATGTTCTCACAAAGAGGTCCGAACTTGAAGCCAGACAGATGATGGCAGCTGTGACCAATGAATTGGAGCGCCAACATCAAGAGAATCAAGAAATGCCAACATCTCAGCCTTCTCGAACTGAATACAAGAGACCACCTTTGAACAGCAGTGCACAGGCCACTCCATCAAGCCACATGAATAATTCTTTTTCTGGAGACAGAGGAATCTTGAAGGTTTTACAAGACAGGGTGAGCACAGCAACGGCCGCAGTAGCGGAAGAAGATCAGTTTGGGGACGAGAAGACTAAAACTTCAGCCAATCAAAATGGGAAGGTGGCAGCAGAAAATACAGCATCTACTGCCAATGAGACAGGAGAACTGTCACAACCACAACCACCGACCAAGCCGCATCGACAATCACCCCAGCCGTCCCGTCCTGGAGCATACATGGTTGCTCCTGGAGAATCCATACAACGAGCAGAGACTATCAACTTTTGGATGCAACGAAATGTTGCCAATACAGTGACTACGTCCTTGCGCCCAACAACACAGTCTCCTGATGGAAGTCATGATCAGAATGCATTGGTTGCTGAACTTTCAGCTGTTGAATTAGGTGGCCCAGATGAATCATCCAAGTCACAGAGCCCTAAATCCCAGAGCAGGAAATGTGTTCTGCTTGCACTTGTTGGTTTGCTGGTTGTGATTATCACCGTTGGTGGTGTCTGTGGAAGTGGTGTGTGCAGTGGAGGCAGCAGTGAACAAGAAGCCTTGGTACCTACGATGGCTCCAACCTCACAGAAACATGTTAAGCATCAAATGGCAATTTTGGATTTCTTTGGAGAGGGCTATTTTGATGGAATGAATGCTGACTCCTCCCAGTACCAGGCCTTGGATTGGATCACAAATGATCGCATAGCACCGGAGGATGGTCATTTTATTCAAAGATTTGTTTTGGCAGTCTTCTACTTCCGCTTATCACAGGAGTCACGGTGGGTCGACTGTGACCCTCAGAATGGGAGCACCTGCAAAAAAAAGCGTGATGGTCTTGTTTGGATGCTTGGAACCAACGAATGCTCATGGGGTGGAATAGACTGTGATGATATAAGTGGCCATGTGACAGAGTTGAGTATGATACAAAATGACTTGAATGGGGAGCTGCCAACAGAGCTGGCTGTTCTCTCCAAGTTGACTGTTCTCAATCTGATGGACAACAGACTCACAGGGCCCTTGCCATCAGAACTCTGCACGCTTGCTTCGTTGGAGGAACTGAACTTGAGTGGCAATTCTCTGTCAGGAGAAATCAGCACTGAAATTGGACTCCTGACAAGTCTTTCCAAGATGGATCTTTCAAACAATCAGTTCTTAGGAAGCCTGCCAGAAGAGATATCAGCCTTGACAGGGTTGTACCAGTTTGACATCCACGGAAATTTTGCCCTGCATGGCAAGATTCCCCAAGCTGTTTGTGACAGTGCCAATAGCCACAATGAGACTGAAGAAATAACAGTCAGGGCAGACTGTTCCATACGGAAGGCTCTTGATTCAAATGTGACCTGCCCAAACCACTGCTGCACAGAATGCTGCTACAAAGGGCGATGCCATCCTCCTTATTGAGTGTCCCATTCTTAGGTTACCAGGGACGGTCTCTTGGGTGCTTAATTAATAGCTGGAGCATTTGATCTGTGTTAATCCACCTACTCCAAACCCCGTTGCTTGGTTTGATTGTGTTTAAAGCTTTGGCACCTCTCTTGTTCCTGGAGTGTGGACTCCCCAAAGAAAGCTACCAACTGATTCATGAACCAGAGATATATGTACATGTGGCCAAGAGAGGGTCTGCACTAGCTATCGCATCTTTGGCTTGGTGCGCATCAACCATCAAAGATCCCAAAAAGGTGATTGAGTGAAGTGGAGGAGAAGACTTTGCCCATCTTTCACGGGCAAAGAATAGATGCTGAGATTTGTCCAAGAGGGATATACCGTACAGAGTGCTGCCGCAAAGAGCTCTGTTATCTAGATAGCCTGCTTTATAAAGGCGTGTAGCGTATGGTACATGTCCCTAATAAGGTGAAGAATCTGTGATCTATTGGTGAAATCTTGACTCCAAACTCTAGCCGGTGCAAAGAAATTGGCACAGGCCGTTTCGTGACAAGGCGGATGCCTTTGAACAAAATGTCGACGGACAGCGTCAACGAAGAGCAGCGCCCTGATCTACCGCTCTAATAGGTCGGAGTGACAGTCAGCTTACGCCTATCAGAAGGGACGACATGTTTCGTTGGCTCGTTTGGATCCTCTTCTTCTTCGTAGAGCTCTCGGATCTTTTCCTTTCCAAATTCTTTGGAGGATCCTTCGATTGAATTACATTCGATTCGTAACGATCGATTGATTCAATTCGAATCGAATCAATTCGAATCGAAAGGTGCGGTAGCTCAAGCAAGCCAGAGCGGCTTTAGTTTCGATGAGAAGGGGTTTAGAGTAGGGAAATTATCTACGGTTTTGGATTCCGGGCTAGGGGTGAGCATGGCTGAGCTATCAGGCCACTACTTTACTTGCTACTGCAAGTCATATGTAGTAGGCTAGTCTAGGCTTGCTACTAGACTTGCTACACTTGCCCGCTACCCAGTAAGTACCCAGCTCAAGTGGAGCCCCCAGAGCACATCAGGTCCATGGCGCGGCATGGCCCATGATCAGCATCATTACATGTACTGTACGAATACTCGTGGTGTGGACTGTTGGCTGTTTGCCGCTCAACAGTCAACAGATTCATTCGTGATTGACCTTTTGCATTGAAGCAACATGCTCAGGGGGGGGCGGCACCGGTGCCTGTAGGCACAAGTAATCAAACGAACCGTTGATAATGACTTGTAATTGTAAGTCACGGGAAGTCAGGAGCTTTCGATGAACTTTACTCGTTGAATCTACTTTGAGAACTCCCGCGGATGTGCACTCTGAGATGTCTCCAACAATTTGACATCGCTTGCTCGTTTTCCTCCCAATTTCTTGTTCGCTTGCGCAATGATCCGACTGCATCATTGTTGACGATTAATATCCATCCCCGTACTGCTTTCCTTCTCTTTGTGTCTACCAGTACACCATTAGCAGTGGCCCAGTACTTGCCAGCAAGCAAAATCTGTAATGGGCCATCCACCACCTTTGAAAAGGCTATAACTGGGCGGACTGGACCTACAATTCAAACCAAGATATCATCTCACCCTCCGTCGCCCTCACGAGAGGAGACGGATGGGCTCTAGTCTATCATAGTCAATGTGGCTGCTGGTCAAGTTCCTTCAAATCAACAGGATCCTTCTGGTGTCTTGTTTCCTGGAGATCTCCAGTTGGGGCCAATAAATGGGGTCGATGGCGCTCTGATCAACTCTAGTGACAAAGTCGCTTTGAGAAGGAGCGATGTCGTTTCCAACATTGTAGGATACCCAATTTTGCACACCCCAACCAGTGACAAGACACATTGCTTTGACATTGTCCTGCGTGTCTGTGGCTTCCAACATTACCTTGAGCATCTTGTAGGACGTTGTCAGTGTCAAGGTCCACAACGCCGCTCAGAGAGACTTTGGAAATGCAGTTGGTCTCTTGGGCGACTTCCATGGATGGTGTTGGCTCGTGACGGAAAGACTGATTTAAGCAACGACATGAATGCCATGGGACAAGAGTGGCAGGTTCGTGATGATGAACCAGAGCTCTTCCAAGCTGTGAGGGCTCCCCAGTATCCCACCAAGTGCATTCTTCCTGACATGGGCATGAAGGAAGCACGGCGCCTTGGAGAGGGTGTTTTTTGAAGAAGATGTCAAGGTTGTTTGTGCTCATCTGAAGCACATGCGTTTGCCAACTGTGTCTACGATGTGACTGCCACCAATGACCTTGATATGGCCGAGAACGAACTAGACTAAGCAGCCCTTGTTGAGTTTTGCATATTATTTCATTGAGAAAGGGGTCTTGCGTCCTTGGAGTTGAGAGGCTGTAATCCCCGTTCGTGTAAAAGAAAACTATTACGTATGTTTTAGATTACTTGTGCCAACACGAATTCCGGGTATGGAATGAATATGGCACGTGGCGTTGGACTAGCCATGCAATGCGATGTAATGCATCTTCTCGCGGAAAGAAACAGGGCCGAACGTTCTCCCCTCTAGGTTCGGGGAGCTGGACGATTGACACAGAGTTTCGTTACGGGAGGCGGTGGAGACGGCGGCTCTATGCAGTTCCAACGTCAAATAGTACACAGCGCAACCCATCACGATTCGATTGACGACAGTGAGCTTGTCTCAACTGAACTGTTGCCGAGACAACCCGAGGCATAGGCATTCCATATCCATGGCGATGCCGGCGCATAGAAACACGGGACATGACAACGAACCAGACTCGACTCTTGGAAAATGCAGAGGAGGGATGAGTTACGGAACTGTCTTCGGTTTCGTTTCAATGACGCTACGCTGTACGCAGCGAGGCTTTGCGCAGATTGCTGGGGTTGCATCCGGAATCTCTCTCGTTTATGGTCCCAGCGTGTGGAGAAGCTCGATGGTAGCTTGGCCCTCGCTGGCTTCCGTAGAAAACCTCCCCTACTATATATATACGAGCCAATTAAGGCCACGGGAACTGGCATGGCCCTGGTCGTCCGCTTTGGCTACGAAACCCGCAGAGTTCCAGAAGGATCCTGTGTGTATCTGTAGGAACTCGACTGGCTGGCTGTCCTATTGAGTAGAGGCCATCGGTCTGCTCTAGTGAGTATGTGATAGCTTTTGCTTGCTAGTAGACCATGGAGTTTATAGTCTGCCCTGTTTTGCTTCTCGCAGGTGGGCCATTGCATATCTCCGAGTTGTTGGGATGACGGCTCTATCGGGTCGTGCTTTCTCGTTCGACGAAATGGGTCCAAAGCCTGCTTCCGCGTACGGTAAGCTATACCGTATCATTAATAGTACTTTTTGGGTCACCAATGTTTGCCTGATTACTCGTGTCCTATCCCAGACACTGGCAGACAAACCCCCGCTGTGCTGCCTGTAGTTGGCCGCGTAGCGAGTTGTTGTTACCGCATATGATGGCATGGCCATCTTGGGTGAGAGACACCGTAGCCTAAGGCTTGTCCTGTTGTTGGCCATAATCCTTGTACCGTGGATGAGGCTCCTGCACGCACCTGATGGAAGATGCGTGCTCCAACAACCTTGCTTGTCAATCATACTATGACTGCAATCTGGATATGTTTCTCCTCAGCGGTCTCTGGCGGTCAGAGCCCAGATTGGTTTGTTGTCTTGGTTGTTTTTGTGGGCAGCTTTGTCGGCAGCTAGCTTGATACTTTGGAATCCTTTGGACCGGTATCAACGCCAGATCGTACAAGATAGCTAGTGGAAAATGTTGTCTTTTTAGCGCTCGTAGACAGAATCAGCAAAGGCTTTGGACATCGTTCTTTCAAACGGGTACGGTAGCCTTGGCGTCACCCTCTCCAAGGCGTTGGCCCTCCTCCTTTTTAGTTCATGTCGGGAATGGAAGGATGCAGTCTGTGCAGCCCAGATTGCATTTTGGCTTGATTGTTTTTGTCTGCAGGCAGCTTTACTTGGTATTTGGCATACTGTGAAACCGGCATCAACGCCAGATCTCAGTAGCTAGCTTTTGTTTTCTAGTGCTCGAGTCCGGCTTCCTCGTCTTGCTTCAAGGGATTATACTCTTCTCCTGTAGAATCGTGGTTGGTTGTTATTGTTGTTGATTGCTGAGGCGGAATGCAGGACACGGCAATGATCAAAATGGCGCCCATGCAGACGAGTACCTCTATTCCCAACAGCGTGGGAATCAGATGAACCGGCAAATCCCAGCAACAACAAAAGACTCCAATAGTGATGAGCCACAGGGCCGTCAATACCATGAGAGCCCATCCCAGTACGTGGGCAATGACATTCTTGGGGTAATGGATGGAGTACACCAGAATGGCGGCATTGACCATGTTGAGTTGTCCCCAAATTTGATGAAATTTGCCGTCTTGCGGCATGCGCTTGAACTGCGCATGTTCCAACACCATGTATCCATTGACTACAAACGCCATGGCCAATACACCTCGAAAGGAATCTTTGGGCAGCCGCTGTTGCGATTCCCATCGAGCCACCAGTCCTACCAAGATGTAGGAAGAATACATGACCAAATGCGGCAAGAATTTAAAGGGAGAAGGGGAGATGGTTTCGATCAAGGCACCAAAGGCCATTTGTTCCAGCACTCCGATACTGCAGACCCAGACCATGACGGTGCCGGTGCGGTGCAGGGCAAACGGCGACGAAAGATGTATGGATTGTCCTCGTTTGGCTCGGTCAAAGCATCGCCCCAACAGACTGCCACCGAGTGCCAAGTAAATGGCGGCGGCCAGTAAATGGCCTGGCAAGTCACCCGTACCGACATGTCCTTCTTTGCGGGCCCAAAATTGGAATTCAAAGGGTTTGCCATTTTCAAATGGTGGTGCTGCAGTGGTACTACTATTCATACCAGCCATGGGAATATTTATTTGGACCCTGGCTATATACGTACAGTAAGGGTGTGGGTTGGTTTATTGGTTGCTTTTTGATGACGGGTCATGGCAAAATATCGTAACAAAGGAGGTTCCGTCTTCGTCATCGTCGCTCCGTGCCTCTGGCTACCAGTACTAGTACACGTAGAGGTCAAAAGTATATCGTACTACGGTAAAGGACCCGACCGTGGTATCGTAGAGGCGAATGTTTATGCATTTGAACTGGCTTACCTTTTTTGCGGTTCCACCCAAATATCGAATCAAATCGAATCGAATCGAATCGAATCGAATCGAATCGAATCGAATCGAATCGAATCATGCACTCTGGTGTATGATACTACGCTGTACGGTATGTAGCTGGCTAGAGTCCTGCACTATTAAAACAGAAGGGCAATAGACTGACTGTGTGACTTTGGTTAATTAATTACCCGTAAGCTTGAAAAGGTGCTCGGAAAGGAGCCCGGTTAGAGTGATAGTACTGTAATAATTAGTACTGAGTACTATAATAATATAGAAAGAAGCCCTTGGGGGTCATTTCAGTCCCCAAACCATTGCGATGTGGGACCCTCGAGAACTGGCATGTGGGGGTTTGATATTAATTACTTAATTACTATTAATAGTAACACGTACATAAGCATGCTGAGACTAAAGGAGTTATTGAAATTGAGGCAGAGGACAGAGGTTTTCGAGTACCAATGTACAAATAGTTTATAGTGTGCTCCTCATTGCAGTGCCTGTCTATCTGTCTACAAAACGAGGGAAGACCAGCTAGCCTTCTGTATGGAGTACCTTCGACGTTGTAAAAGTCATGGTGATAAAAGTCATTAAAATTTGCACTCAACTGGTACATACTGGTACCAGTTCAATATACTAGGTACAAATTTTAATTAAGACCATGCGAGCTTCCGAGAAGTTGGCAAAACAAAATCTTCCCTTCATTCTGCTCATTCGCGCCCGTAAATATCCCCCTCTATCAGGCGGCACTCCCAACAAAGATAGAAAGCACCCTTCGTATCAACAGCAATAGACAAAAGGCTGACAAAAGGCTTCGTGGCAGCAATAATAGACAAAAGGATGGTGAAACCCAAAGGCGACAATGACGTTACCAGCAATGAGGCTGAGGATCAGCAGTCGCAGCAGCAGATTCTCCGTGATGTTCTCACAAAGAGGTCCGAACTTGAAGCCAGACAGATGATGGCAGCTGTGACCAATGAATTGGAGCGCCAACATCAAGAGAATCAAGAAATGCCAACATCTCAGCCTTCTCGAACTGAATACAAGAGACCGCCTTTGAATAGCAGTGCACAGGCCACTCCATCAAGCCACATGAATAATTCTTTTTCTGGAGACAGAGGAATCTTGAAGGTTTTACAAGATAGGGCGAGCACAGCAACGGCCGCAGTAGCGGAAGAAGATCAGTTTAGGGACGAGAAGACTAAAACTTCAGCGAATCAAAATGATAAGGTGGTAGCAGAAAATACAGCATCTACTGCCAATGAGACAGGGGAGCAGCCGCCGCCACCAACCGCTCTGCGTCGACAAGCACCCCATCAGTCCCGTCCCGGAGCATACATGGTTGCTCCTGGGGAATCCATACAACGAACAGAGACTCTCAATTTTGGGATGCTACGAAATGTTGCCAATACAGTGACTACTTTCTTGCGTCCAACAACACAGTCTCGAGAATGAGAATGCATTGGATGCTGAAGTTTCAGCCGTTGAATTAGGTGGCCCAGATGAATCATCCGAGTCACAGAGCCCTAAATCCCAGAGCAGGAAATGTGTTCTGCTTGCACTTGTTGGTTTGCTGGTTGTGATTATCACTGTTGGCGGTGTCTGTGGAAGTGGTGTGTGCAGTGGAGGCAGCAGTGAGCAAGTGGTGCCTACAATGCCTCCAACCTCACAGAAGTATTTTGAGCATCAAATGGCAATTTTGGATTTCTTTGGAGAGGACTATTTTGATGGAATGGATATTGCATCCTCCCAGTACAAGGCCTTGGATTGGATCACAAATGATCTGATAGTACCAGAGGATGATCATTTCATTCAAAGATTTGTTTTGGCAGTCTTCTACTTTCACACATCGCAGCAGTCACGATGGGTGGCATGTGCCCCACGGATGATATCCTGCGACGACAATCATGGAGATTACATTGGTGTTATCTGGATGCATGCAAGCAATGAATGCCTCTGGGGTGGAATAGAATGTGATGATAAAAGTGGTCGTGTTACAGAGTTGAGTATGATACACAATGACTTGAATGGGAAGCTGCCAACAGAGCTGGCTGTTCTCTCCAAGTTGACCGTTCTCAATCTGAGGGACAACAGACTCACAGGGCCCTTGCCATCAGAACTCTACACGCTTGCTTCGTTGGAGGAACTGAACTTGAGCCACAATTCTCTATCAGGAGAAATCAGCACTGAAATTGGACTCTTGACAAGTCTGTCCAAGATGGATATTTCAAACAACCAGTTCTTTGGAAGATTGCCAGAAGAGATATCAGCCTTGACAGGGTTGTACCAGTTTGACATCCACGGAAATGATGGCTTGCATGGCAAGATTCCTCAAGCTGTATGCGACAGTGCCAATAGCCACAATGAGAATGAAGAAATAATAGTCAAGGCAGACTGTGTCGAGTATACCAGTTTACCAAGTGAAGGGGTGGTGACCTGCCCAAAGGACTGCTGCACAGAATGCTGCTCTGACGGGGGGTGCTATCCTGCTGAATGAGTGTCCCATGGCAGACTGTTCTTTAAGGTCGACTGTTCCTCCTGAATGAGTCCCACGCGAAGATTCCCAGGGACTTCAAACAAACAGGCAAGATGACAGAAGGAGTGGCTGGTTTTCTATCTAGTTTCTTGTACCGTAGTAGACGAAGATTGTTATGTTAGTTGTCCCTTCATTATCATTTATGATTTGAACTAGCTAGCTGGATGTTGCTGGCAGTGGTACTAGTGATTCGCTTGTACGGTGCGGTACGGTACGGTGCGGTACGGTACGGTGACAAAAACCGTCAACCAGGTACTAATTCATGAGCCAGAGATATATGAGACCAAGAGAGGGTAGGCACTAGCTATAGCATCTTTGGCTTGTTGCGCCCTAACCATCAAAGATCCAAAAAGCTGATTGAGTGAAGTGGAGGAGACGACCGTGCCATTCTTTCACCGGCAAAGAACGGATGCTGGGATTTGGGACGTACCGTACAGAGTGTTGCTACAAAGAGCATTAATATCTCTAGCTTGCTTGCTCGCTTCATAAAGGTGTATGCCGTTTCATGGCAGGGCGGATGCCTTGGATCAATATAGCTTTCGGCTACCCGCCTAGCTAGCTAGAGGGCTATGGGGAGGAAGGGGTGCAGAGGAGAGCAGGAGGGCAGGATGCAAGCGAGACAACCGATCGAGTGAACAGAGCACCATCAAAATCAAAGGAGAGGGTTGGCAAGGTACGGTACGGAGGGCACCAAAGCAAAGCAAAGACAAACACAACGAAACGGTTAACGTTCACCCTAAAACCTGACGGCCAACTCAGTATTTCGTCTCCCGGAGACAACTTGCTTTAGGGTAAGGGTACTGTTGGGGGCAGAGGTTTGAATTATACCCGGCGTGCAATACTTAGAGGCCTCTGTAGAAGTCTACGTATTTGACTAGTATTGTATTGACGGGATACAGTTAACGCATGTACATGCACATGAAAGTCGCCTCGCTTTTCACACAAGTTTCGCATGAATGAGGGAGGGAGCTGCATGAAAGTCGCCTCGCTTTTCACACAAGTTTCGCATGAATGAGCGAGGGAGCTGTTTCGGTTTCGGGGCGAAGCAAGAAAGGGATGAGCGCGCGGAGCGCGCGAATACTGTTTCAGGTGTTGGTAATAAAAGATTTATGGAAACGGAGACGACCCAGGGGGCGTATGAATCTCTTTTTTGCCCTCAACCGACTGAGGGTCTTTCACACTTTTATCGCTGTATGTGTATGTGTGTGTGCAAGTTAGTCTGTACGTCCGTCATAAAGGATGGGGTAAATAATAATTGTTAGTTGGTAAAATATACTCCGAGTACCAAACTATGTGTGTGTGCAAGTTAGTATGTACGTCCGCCATAAAGGATGGGGTAAATAATAATTGTTAGCAGGTAAAACATACTCCGAGTACCAGAGTATGTGTGCAAGTTAGTCTGTACGTCCGGCATAAAGGATGAGGTAAATATTAATTGTTAGCTGGTAAAACATACTCCGAGTACCAATGTGTGTGTTTTGGTTGGCTATCGATAGACTACAGTAGACTGTGTGTTCAGTTGAACACAGTGTTGGATTTGGCCAAAGAATCAAATCTCTTTTTTGACAGTTGAGGGCTACGATTTCCGGTGGTTGCACCAAGAGTAGAGGGCATCAGCCTTCGGCTGTCTGTTCTTCTTTATACCGGTAGGGGGGATTAGAGTTTTGCAGCCCTCCCACGAAGGAAGTCAGTTCCAAAGTTCCGAGGAAGTCTGGACTGCAGCAAAAAGAGGGCGACATAATACAAATGAGTACAAGCTAGCTAGTACCAACATGAGCAGCAGTACGAGATATGCTCGTAGAAGTGGTCCCATTCCAGTGACGGTCTCTGATTCAGAAGGCTCCGACGTTGACGAGGAGTTTGTTGACTTCGATGATGAAGAGTCCTTTTACGATGTGGGTGGTTCCGCCGAAGATGCTGAGGGTCGTGTTGACGGAGAAGAGTCCTCCTTTGGTACTGTTCCACAGGAAGACTCTTGGGAGGACGCCATGTTTGATGAAGATGAAGATCCCACAGAACAAGCTACTCGTCCTACTACATGTACTACTGGTATTCCTTTCCACAGTCGCTTGGGTCGTCGCATTGACTTTGTGCAGTTGACCGATCCGGCGAAAAAGACGCATTTGCAAAGAACGAACCGGCAGGTTTTGTATTTGTGACCTGGTTCTGTGGTACTCCTCTACAGAGGTCTACACAGACCGGCGGTTACAAATACAAACCAGCCGTTATCGTTCCTAACAAAACGAACCGGCTACTTAGGGGCGGCTGTGCCCCATCGGTCTCCGGTCGCTCTAAGTAACTGACCATCGGGCTGGCGGGCTTCGCCCTCCTTAAGCCCTCGGTCAGTTACTTAGAGGACCTCCGACCTCGGGTCCCGGCCTTTACCATCGGGCTTGCGCCCTCGGTCCCCTAAGTAACCAGGTTCGTTTTTTATAAAGACGTTTGCCTATCAACTCTTTGGAGATCGATTGGTCATGTACAAGATGGACATGACCAAGAATCAGGGAAACATGCCCACGAAGTTCCAGGAAGAAGAATCAGATGGATATGTCTACGAGATTTTGTGCTCCAAATTTGAAAAAAAGACCCAGGACAACATTCCCAAAAAGACATTGACGCTCTACTACGTCCTCACTGAAGGACCTGGTAATATTCCTACAATAAACCTCCAACACGAACTCGACAAAGTGGCCAACTGGGGGAGACTCCCATCACAAAAGGTCCCGGCTCGATTGGAACTTCTCTTTAGTACGGCAGTCAAGGGCCAACGACAAGGCGAATTGGCGATTTACACAGATCTCAAGTCGCACCACGATTTCGAACTCATCCCAGAGAATTCTCATGTCGGTTGTGGATTCATCCCGCGCCAGTACATCGAACGCTTCTTGGGAAGCAAGACTGTTCGAGGGAGACGAACGTTTGCAATTCAAGTGCGAATCTTTTCCGCCCAATTGGGTGTCTTCAAGGGAATGCTCATGGAAAAGCCGGGAAATCGACAAGATCCAGCTCCCGCCTAGTATGCTCAAGGTGCCTCCACTAGCAACCACAGCAACAAATGACAATACTACTGCCAGTCTTCTCATCAACAACACATATCCGTCCAGTGTCCACACACAAGTGACCAAACTGCTCAATGGCCACCAAGAACCGCCGGTTAGTTTCATTCCCAATAAACTCAAATGGATGATCACATCTCTCTTGACATCGTTGGGAGTCTCGCAGGAATCCATGGACGAGTACGTCGAGGAAGCACATTCTCGTCATGGGCGTGGATTGCAACATTCGTGTGTCGTCGGAGTAGCGGATCCTACCAATGCCATTCCACCCGGTCACGTCTTTGTCACGGGTGTGTTGGGGACCAATGCCGACTTGCCGGAACTGTTTGTGACGCGGTTTCCTTGCACATCACCACGCGATGGACTCATGCTGCCATTGGTCCAACAAAGTCAAATGCGACGCGAAGATTGGAATTTTCTCGACAATCTACCCTTTGGGGCCATAATCTTTGGAAATGCAGCAGGACCAGGAGAACCTTCGCTACCGTCCATTTGTGCCGGAGGGGATTTGGATGGCGACAATTACTTTGTCTGTTGGAATCGAAGCCTCCTGGATCAAATCACAACGGTCGAACCAGCAGAGGGAACATGGGATGATGGAGCAATGGACGTTCGATCGCATCGTAATCCCCAGTGGCTGCGAGATGCCCAGACGACAGTGGCCAATGCGTCGCGTTTGGCAGCCATTTTTGATCTGATTGGCACACTCTGCACGGCGCGCAAGAATTTGGTTCGAGATTGCGGTCCCGACTGTCCCGATGCATTCTCACTGGGACAAGCCTATAAGGATTCCTTGGATGTGGCCAAACATGGCCGACCCATTCGGTTGCCACGACATTTGTGGGACATGTTGCCCGAAACGGTACATGGCATGTTGACGACAGCGGCGGATCATGAAGAAGATGATTGTAGATGCGAGTTTCACAATGATCCCATTCGGCACCGGGCAACTCAAAGCAAAAAGAAGAGAACACGGACTAGTACTTGCCACAACAGTTCCAGAAACAACAACAACGCGACGGCAAGTGAACAAGCCGCAAACAACAACGATCATCTGGGTGCATTGAAAGAAGGTGCCCCCGTCGACATTGTGGGTGGAACGTACAAAGACAAGTCTGCCACCTTTGTGCGGCTGACGGCCAAGATGGTGTACGTGAAGCTCCCAGGGCCGCCGCCCAAGGAAATTCGCATTGCTCAAAAGTTTGTAAGGCCTACTAGCTAGGACGTAAAAAGATTCACTGGACTCTGCTGCAAGCACAAGTTGTTGCTTGTGCGTGGATTTTTGCATCAATTCTATATGCTTCTTGCCGTATTGCTGCCAGTGATCCGCTGCTGGAGGATACCGTCATGGGACCTTACAAATCGTTTGAGTTGTCACCGCTCTGTCATGGAATCCTGTCTGAGCGACGAGCAAGAGGATCCGTATTCGAAGGGAGCCGTACACAGCCCACTTTTAGTAACGTTTGTCGCCCTGGTGCGTCATCCGTCAATCGAATGATTCCTGCGATTGTTAGTTGCTGAATCGATTGTTTGCTACTGGTTGGATCATGTCTGGCAGCCAATGTTCCGATCAAGCGCTTTCTAGCTGCATGTAGCACCTACCGGCAGCTCTTCGGGTGGGTCTGATCCAGTAATGTCCCCATCGTTCGAGCGATGCGTGCTGTATGGCTCGCCATCGAGTATAGCACCTTGGCTTAGCAACCAAAGTATTCAACCAGCAAGCAATCACCGGAGGGTCGTAATTAAACGAGGCTCAAATGTTATGCCTGATGTCCACGGCATCGTGCACCTGCAGTATTTCTGAAAATGGGTGTTTGGGGTGCGTGTAGTTAGCTAGACTACTGGTATCTAAGGAAGCCATGCAGCGAGGGCGCAATTACAGTGGTGAGTTGGCAATAGTTGCTTGAACATGCGTGGGGCCGGGGCTTCAGCCTCCGGCTTCCGGCTGCATGCCTGCATGCCTGCATGTTCTTTTCGGGGTACGTAGGTGGGGAAATTGCAGCAAGTGCATAACTCTTGCAGCTCTGCACTAGAAACCTGATGGGAACTCACCTTCAACAAGCCCCCCCCCCCAACTAACACCCAACACGCACCCTTGCTCTCACCCTTACCCTACTCACTGACTTATAAAAGAACTACATGTAACTTTCTTTAAAGCTACACTTTCTTTAGTCTTCCTGAATCGAATCGAATCGAATCGAATCGCTTTGGAGCTGGGAGTGGCTTGCTTTGTGGAGTAATTGCCACAGTGGAGCGAGCTTGCTGGAGCCAATGAATCTTCACTTGAAAGCTTCCAAAATCCAAGTTCTGACTACATGAAGGATGGCAGTTTCGGTGTTTCATTGGCCGTGAAGCCATGAAGCCAACTCGTGGTGACTGAGTCACTGGACGCGAATTTCAATGACTCGACTAGTCTATGTAAATCGTTTGAAACTGTGAGCTCTAATGATTTACGGAACCTGAGCCTGCTTGCGGAGAGGGGAACTCATTGCATAACACTCTCCAATATTATTTAGCAATGCCAGAACGGTCATATGTTTGGGGCTTTAACACTTACTTTTTTTATCAAATAAGCGCAGCAAAAAGTGAGAATACTAAATAATTTACTGGGATTGACAGAGACAAGCCTTCAAGGCTGGAGCAGGGTTCGCTAACCAGTAATTTTGGTTATTGGTTTTGGTTACGATGGGGGGTTTTAGAGTAGGGAAATTATCTACGGAAGCCAGCCGGGGCCAGGCTTAAGCAAAGAACAGTCGAAATTCAGGACTAGGTTCGGTGGGACTGGTTGACTGGTTAATAACCAGTCGGATCAACCAAAACCACTAACCAGTCAATACCATTGGTTATTGGTTGATCAACCGATAACCAGTAACCAGTACATTTTCGACTGGTTGATTTGACTGGTTACTGGTTGATTTTACTGGTTGATTCGACTGGTTATTGGTTGAATCGACTGGTTGATTTTGAACTTCGAGTTGTTGATTCTACCGGTTATTGGTTGATTCGACTGGTTGATTCGACTGGTTGTCTAGGTATTTGCCTCCAAGATAGCTACCGTCCAGGCTGTGTTTTGTCCTTCGAGCAAGGTAGTTACTGTCCAAGCAAGGTAGCTACTGTCCAGGCTGTTTGTCGTTAATGAGGAGCTTGTGGAGGACATCACTTCTGAAATGATGGAAAAACTTGAGTTTTTCTCTAAGGAAGAGGAGAAGGCTGCGGAAGATGAGAGAAAAAGGGATGCGGCATCCTAGGGTGTGCACAGGGAATTGCATGGGGTGGAAACAAACTACACACAAGTCTTGCACTGCATGTTGGGACCTGCATGAACTTGATTGAGGCTATGGCAACCTAGACAACTGCATGGGGTGGAAGCAAACTGCACACAAGTCTTGCACTGCATGTTGGGGCCTAGATAATAACCACTGGTTCAACCAGTGGTTATTGGTTAATCAACCTACAAATAACCTATAACCAGTGGTTGATCAACCAATAAACATTAACCAGTACCCTAGTTTGACTGGTTGATCAACCATTAACCAATAACCAGTACCCTAGTTTGACTGGTTGATCAACCATTAACCAATAACCAGAACCCTAGTGACTGGTTAGCGAACCCTGGGCTGGAGTTCTGGTGCCGAGTGGCACGAGGCAGCAAGAGATTCAAGGATTTAACTACATCAACTCGCAGGGTGTGACCACCGAGAAAAATTTAATGTGCGACAACGAGACAACAGCTGAGACGACGCACTTGTTTTGTTCGACTCGACTCGATTCTATGACTCGTCGCTCGTCACTCTTTCCGCAGACTGCTGACACATTTCGCGCTTCCCTTCACCGCAGCGAAGGAGATCATACCTAATACATACCGTCAGGCAAGAACCAAGCCAACTATTAGACTACTACATGTACTAGAGGACTGAGATGTCTGATCATGATGCTGACAAGCCAATTTTAATGACCGTGCAGTTGCCGAAACGCTCAGAAAACCAGCAACATGGTGACGGAGCAAAACAATCTTGTGTTGAGTTAATGGAAGACATTGTGCTTTCGTCGTTGATGGCACAGCAGTCCACAGCTAATACTGATGACAACATCCACTCTGACCAAACTACAATAGGCTCTGTTGAGCTTACCCACATTCGAAACAAAAGAACCAAAAACAGCCAAGTAGTAGGCACTACTACAGTGGCTGCCCATGAAAGCGTGTTTGCTTCGGGTCTGTTCGAGCAGCTGTTCGAGCTACCAGAACCTATTCCAATGTTAACAAGGACCCCACAACAAAGGAGTAGCCCAGGGGCATTTCACATGGATGGTTTCCCAACCGATCATCAGAACGCCACAAGCAATGAAGTCCTTTCAGAGAACCAGCCGAGCGAAGCTGGTGGCATTCCCAGCAATCTTCCTGTTGCCAGTGGCGTCGATGTGCAGGTCTCAGATCCATTGCCCCATGCGGAATTGTTTTTCCCGAGAAGTAAACATTACTGGCGACAACGATTGTGTCTTGGGTTTTCAGTGGAGCTCACTGTGGTTCTGCTAGGAATTTCTATATTTCTTATGGTTTTCCTGATCAGTACAGATGGAGAAGTCAATACCACCGCTGACTCAAGGCAAAACATTAATGGTGGAGCTATCCGTATTCCTTCTGCAGCTCCAGGTTCAACCCAAGCACCAACTCCATTTTTGGACACACTCAATCTACCTGACTACACCATGGATGCCATCATGGAACACCCAAGGTCCCCTCAGTCCAATGCTTATCAGTGGCTAGTCACCAACAAAACTAATCTTGCAACATATCCAAAATGGAGAATGACCCAAAGATTTGCTTTGGCTACCTTTTTCTTTGCCACCAGGGGAGACTTTTGGGTGAATCATCATGGCTGGTTAGACCGGGAAGTTCATGAGTGCAACTGGGAACAGCAATCATATAATCCCGACCACATGCAATGTGATGATTCTGGGCATATAAAAGGTTTGTCCTTTTTTGGAAACAAGCTAGATGGAACGATTCCACCAGAGCTATCCCTTTTGAGTGAAGATTTGGAGCTTCTGGAAGTGCCAGGGAACTTGGAATTGAAAGGGCAGATCCCAACTGAAATTGGATTACTAACAAAGCTGACAGAGCTGCAAACTTTCAATACTGAACTTTCGGGGGAAATTCCTACAGAGCTGGGTCTCCTGTCAGATTTGAGGGAGCTTGGCCTTGGGGGCACCGGAATATGCGGAACTGTTCCCACGGAACTGGGAAATTTAGGTTGCCTTACAAGCTTATTCATGGTCATGACCCAGGTGACAGGTATGCTTCTACTGTGTGTTGCAGCTTAGCATGCATTTTGCATCACTGATATGCTGGACCCCACATACCATTACCAGGAACAGTACCTTCAGAGTTCTTCCAACTAACAAACTTGACAGAGTTTGGAATACGTGATTGCCCTGGACTAGTCTCAGACAAACTTCTGCCCAAAGTTGTGCAAAGCTTTCCCCAACTTGAGTGGCTCATGCTAACCAACACGGCTGATGATGTCGATGCCCGAATACCCAGTAAGTGATTGTTTGTTGTACCAGAAAAGGCGTCGACGTTTTACTCATCTCTGTACACCAAGCTGAAATTGCAAGGCTCTCCAATCTTATGATGTTGCACCTTGAAGAGTGGAACCTTAGAGGGTTGATTCCAAGCCAACTGGGGCAAATGACACAGCTTGTAAGTGAAGCTGTCAGATCGGCCGGTGCTCTAGGAAGTGATATGCTTACGGTTCTTCCCCACCCTTGATCTTTTTCATAGAAAACTCTAACACTAGGGGAGAATTCGCTTTCAGGACGCCTGCCACCCGAATTATCAGAGCTAAGAAGTAAGTCCACCAATCAGGGATGTTTTGGCACAGAAAAGTCTGCTCAGTTCACCATATATGTACTCTTTTCATGCAGACTTGACTTGGCTAGACATGAGTTCCAACCAGCTAGAGGACAAGCTCCAGGCAGGATTGTTTTCAAGCCTGACTTCATTGCATGGGCTAATCATGAATCGGAATAGATTCATTGGCACAATGGCAAGTGAGATTGGTCTCATGTCCAACCTTGTAGAGTTGCAACTGCATGACACAGGCTTGTCTGGAACTCTACCCACAGAGCTCTTTGTCTTGACCAAGTTGACAACCTTAATGGTCACCAATACATCCTTGTCTGGGAGCATACCTGATGAGCTGTGTGACATGATGCGTGGCTATGAAAGGGAATGCCATGAAGGTCATGGCTGCACTGGCAAAATCACCCAGACGAATGTGTGCCAAGGCACCTTACTTTGTGGATGCAACTGTGGCCCATCTTCCAATGCTCGAGAAGAAGGCTGAGTGTGCTCCGAGTCAGTTTGAGGTTTGCAATTGCTCTCTAGCTAGTACCGGTAGCGCCTCGGCTGAGGTCTGATCCAGTCAGTGTCCCGATCATGCAAGCAATTTGTGCTGAATGTCTCGCAATAGAATTATAGCACTGGGCCTTTCAAAGTATTCAACCAGCCAGCACCGGTGTGTTGTAATCAAATAAAGGTCGAATATCCTACAGGTATGACATCATGTTCCTGTTGGATCAGTGCTGTCTCGGAACACCGTATCGGTAGTAAGGAACAGATACGTAATTGCAATTGTATCCTACATGGTCCTATTTCATTTTCCTTCCAATCAGAGAGCTACTCGTATCTTGGCATTTTCCGGTAGAGAGGAGCTCGGAACGTAAAGACTGTAGCTAGAAGAAAGTCTGCTGCTCGGGCGCTCAAACTATGCTTCGCTGCCTCTTTCTACCGGCCACGACCACGAGGTTGATTGAATACAATGTCGGGACCGTACATGCTTGATGTCTACGGTATCCTGCACCTATTTCTGAAAAGGCGGTTTAGAGTTGGTAGATTAATAGGGCCAGGCTAAGCATAGAAGAGTCCAACTTCGGGACTAGGTTCCGTGGGATCAGGGGAGATAGTTTTTGAGGACCAGTACCTGGTACAGGGCCAAAGGGCTTGGCTTTGCAGGATCCGTGGAGACATAAGTTCTCACAAGGGCAACGGAGGCAAAACATCATTTGAGAGTAAGAGTACTGAGTTTTGTACCCATTGACAGAGGCAAGAATGCCATCCACAGAAACAACCAAGGGATGGAAGGAGGGATGGAAGGAGGCACGATGGGATTCGCACGGGACTTTATACTTAGAGTTTTCTCGCGTTCTTGATTACACAAAACTTTGAGGGCACCTATTTCTTCCTTTCCGAATCGGAACCCTCCAAGAGCTTGGGTTCCGTGGTACACTTGTAGTGCTGTTGTTGGATTGCTCCGCTCTGTTTGTCACGTAGGTGGTGGTTTGCGCCACCAATCCAGCCGTCGTCTTTACGGCCGCGCCACTAGCATTGACTGCCATTGCCATCTCGTCTCGTCCCGAAAAGGCAAACACCTAACTCACGTTGCAATTCTTGGAGTAGCGCCAGATTCGACGCGACGGGAGAAGCTCGTAACCTTCTTCATCCAAAATCTTTTGCTGACGCATGTCTCAACCAAATGCCTTGCGAGCATCTTCCAGGGTGCTGTTGGCGTCGAGGTGCTTCCTTCTTCTCGGTAAAGAGATAACCCCGGCAGGTCAAGTAGGCGCGATAGCTTTCGCAGTTTTGTTCTTTGTTTTCATCGCCAGAAGGACCAAACTTGCGTGGCTTGTCATCACTGTTCTTGCCGGTGCCTCCAACGAGCCATCCAGCCGTGTTGCTTTTAAAAACTTTGGGGTGATCGGCATGGTGCTGTATGACGGAAAGTCGTTAATGCGTTACGCGTATGCATACGCGTTGAGCGCGACTTTTACCACGGCAAGTTTCAAAGTGTTGATCGTATCATTGCCCCTCCCCCACAACCTCACCGTACATTCCCGTCTTCTGAAGCACTCGGGCTGAGTGTGCTGCTTGGGTATGGCGTGCTGCTGGTGAGATCTGAAACACGAGGACCCGGAGAATCGCTCCTTGTGGGTGGGGTAGCGGATTGTAGGGCAGGCATCGTCTTAGCGTGGGAATGCCTTGGGTGGGATACAGTGTTTGCTGAAACATGACGCGAGTCACTGGTGCGTTTACTTGGTAGTGTCGCATCGCGCGTCGTACAGGTGCCAATGGATATTGTCGGGATGTGGGAAACGCCGGGGATACCGTCTGTCGCCAGGGGTATGTCATAAGGAAACACGGTGGGCACTGGTTCAAATGGTTCAAATTCCACAAAATCGTCATCTGCAGTCTCGCTATCGGAAGCGTTAGCGTTAGCGGTAACATCGTGGTCATTCTGCGCCTCACTCTGCTGCTGTGCCGTGGGATTATCGCCAAAGACACAGGAGTGATAGATGCTGGAGCTCGCAACGTGGGCATGATCCACTGCTGAATGGAACGTAGACTGACACTCAGGGGGGACATCGTTGGAGGATCCACTGGTCCCTCTTTGATGGAACGATCGGGTAGATCGATGTGAGGTTTCGTTCATGGGGCCAACAAGCCGGGGTAGCACAAATACGGCAGAACTGAACACAGTACCGCAGTTTATGCCAAGGACAAAGAGAAGTACGGTTCCGGTCGTGTGATGAACGACCAGGAGCAAGATGGCGACAATGACGGCAATGAAAAGAACATTGTACATGGCAAAGGCAAGCTCTTTGGCTTGGCCACATCCACGTGCGGTGTCGCGAGTGGCATATGCCAAGCCACATCCAATCAAGACCAGGGTACCATCGAATGCCATGGCAGTGTACAAAAAGGCGTTTGTACGGGTGCGGCAACCAAGGTGCTCCGTTGTGGCGACGTCATCTTCAAACTCAACCATCACAACCTCATCATCATCTCTTGGTTTTGGAGGGTCAATCAAACTGAAAACTACCAAAATCACACATTGGATCAGAACAATTGGCAAAGTCAGAGCCGCAGCATTTGGATTGCTAATGGAGGGGCGTCTCCGGCTGTTGCTGGTGGCTACACCCTCGGCACTGGACATGCGATTCCCGTTCGGATTGCCCGACATGACAAACAGCCGATATGTCTTGACAAACAACGGTGAAATTGCCATTGAGAAGCATAGCGGGAATGCCCACATTCGCAACATGCAAAGTTCTTGCGTGGCTTCCCCCAAGAAATAGGCAAATGTGGAGAGATTCATGAGGGCGCATCCAATCAAAAAGGCCTGCGTGAACCATCTCTCTGTCAGAATGACGGCCGGGGATTTGCGTTTCCAATAGAACCAAATTGCCATTCCGAGGCACAAACCGGATCCAATAATGGCAATGGTGCACACCACGGCAAGCAGAGTGTCGTTTGTTGATAGTGGACTTGTTGTCGTCACAATGTGGTCCACTGGGGATACCACTAACAGTATCCATTGCAATTCTTTGTTCTTGGTTTGATACACCACGGATGACTTTGAGACAAAGACATCGCGACCAGCACCCAGGCGATTGGAAATCTTGAATTCTACCAGTCCGTCGGGGAAGTCACCTTCTTTCTGGAGCCTGTAGGCCCTTTGTAGAGCATCATTGGTCACCTCACTCATCGTCACCCGCATGCACTCTTCTTCGTTGGCAGTGCACGGCAGGCTTTCGTTCACGTTGCGGGTTGGACTGAGCCCACTTGACGACGCGATTAAATAGTTGGGTTCGGCATGCTCAAAGATGACGAATGTCGTCGATGGAGATACCGTTCCGTCGCTCCCAACAAGGAGCTCGGACAAGCTATCCAGGGTATAATCCACCGAAAAGACTCCCGCAAACACGTGTCTGTCCCCTTGCCACAAGTACACTGGCTCGCTGTAGGTGATCCCCAACAGGTTGAGATGATTGGAGAACCGGTACGGTGGAGTCCAGGTGGGCATTTGCCTTTGCCGGGTGGCCCGGTACCACGGCCTCACGCGTGGATCATAATCGGAAGATCGGAACCCACCTGTAAAGACGTCATTGCAGATTGTCTTGTTGGCAACCTGGCAGTAGGCATACTCCCCGGAAAGGCTTCAATTGACCACGGTGATGCCGTCGGCAAACAGGCAACTATCGCCACGGATGCCTGGTATATTCTGAGTGTACTTTCCGTCCATGCCATGACAGTACCACGTGCGTGGGACAAAGCCTAAGTCGTTGTTGCTGGCCTTTTGAATCTGGTATTTGGGGCACCATTTTTGCTGCTGGAGACAGTCGGATGTAGAATTACAGGGTGTCTGCTGCGAGTGACACGGTTCCAAGACACAGTCCTCTTGACACTGAACGTATTCGGTTCCCTCTACCATGTCGCATGTCGTGGCTTCACCCGTCACTGGATCCACACATGCATGATAGTATTGTTGCATGTCCATGTCATGGATGGAGTACCCACTGTTGACAGGCTCACGATAGGTTCCCGCAGAGGCATTCCCACCGCTGTATCTGCGAACATACACACACAAAAGAATAACTGTGAGGAAACCGTGGCGATCCGTCTTGAGTTCTGTTCTGTTTGAGTTCGGTTCTGCGACTTACCCGGCAAACATTCCTGCTTCACTGGCGTAATAGAGTCCGTACATCCTGGGAACATCGTATGTCTGGAAGAGGCTGTAAGAAATGGTGTTGAAGGCATCTCTGTCTCGCACCGTCAGCCCATTGGGAAATCCACCATTTTGATGATAATGCTGCAGCAGATTGAGCACCGTCCAGGGAGCCCTCATAAAGTCGTCCACCAGACGCTCCAAAGTACCGCTGGCATGGAGCACGGTCTCAGTGGCTTGGATGAGCGGCGGAGAGGAAAGCACCCCAATATTTCCCCACAGAAGCAACAGAATAAATCGAAAGGCAAGGCATCTACCGATAGACATGATTCTATTCTATTCTATCTACAGCTCTTACTTGATGGGCAACTGTTACGACAAGGCGTTCCTTGTGCCAAACGTATTTTACATTTCTTCTTTTTGGTTGTGAGTTGTGAGACCTGTTGTGAGATGCTTTCCGCTGCTTTTCAGTCATGGGCCCGGGTGGGGGTGAAGTAGAATTCGTTCTGCGTGTTGCTTGCTCCATGCTGCTACCCGTATGCATACTATTAATGAGTAATTGTTTTGGTCAGCTATTAATAGCTAGCTAGTAGGTTCACTTGTTGACTTGCACAAAAGAGCAGTGGTTGATAAATCCACTAGGTCAGAACATGGTTCGGTCCCAGTTGGAATCGAAAACAAATAATACTATTTTAAATAGATACTCGAGTGAGAGACCCTGAAACGCACGCGATGTTACACGTATAACTCGTATAACAGGTGTAACACGTCTTACGTGTGGAATACGTATAACACGCGCGCCAGCCAGCCACCGTGACCGTTCGAGTTTCGCAAAATGACTTGACTTCAACTCCAACTTCTCCACCACAAAGAACCACCATGACAACAACCTCTCTTCTCTTGTTTGTTTGAAGGATACAAAGGTTTCTCTTGTTATTTGAAGATAGCACCATCATTGTGGGTAAGTAGGCAATGTGGTATGGCTTTGTTGAAGCCAAGAAGACTGTTCCTGTGGAAAGATAGAATGATTTCTCTTCATTCAACTCATTCTCCATTTTTCTGCCTCCACTCTCTTCCTCGGGCCCTGTACAGCCTTCAGGACCATTCTCTTTGCATTCATATACTTCTGAAGGCTCACTGACAAAGCCTGTGGAAGACCTGGCCTTGAATTCTACCATTGTCAACCACTTTCTGTAGGGACCAGTACTGAACCCATGTAAGTACCTCAGCGCGCAACACGTGTTACGCGTGTTACGCGTGTAACACGTGTTATGGTGTAACACGTATTATGCATGTAACGTGTATTATATGTATCACCCGTATTATACGTATCTAGCGTGTAACACGTGTTACAGGTTCTTTAGGCATTGTTCCGCTAGTGTAACGGCTTCTGTGCCAAGATGAGTACTTAACACTTTCACTTGTGCCTCTTCCAGTTGTACATGGCCACGATGAAGCTTGTTGCCTGTCTGGAACTTGGGTAGATACCATCGTCTGTGTTCCTGGCTATATAGAATATTGAAAGAGAATGGACATTTGACACCCTCCCCCTCAACAGGAAGCTGAGTCTGGGTGGTTTTGTTGCTCTCCTTTTGGGACCTTTGTTTGTAAAAACGACTCCTTGGACAACATATGGTAATGTGATTCCGCCTCTTATCGAATCCCTTGTTTTTGATACGGAATCCAGCAGTCTTGCAAGAAAGTACAAAGTATGGCATCAAAACTTATTTAATATGCGCCGAATCACAAGATTGATACATCGAAGGTAGCCAATACACCGTCGATTTCTCCATTCGATAATTATCGAACCCCAGAGTATCCATAATGTTTATCTCCTTTGGTGTATCATCAGTTAGTGAGGTTGCTACATTCACAATGATTGAAGCAGGAGTCCATTCTTCATCATTGATATTGTATCTAGCAACATGGGAGAGTTCAGATAGGTAAGAGTCCATTTTACTTGATAAGCTGTCAGGTATTATGGCCTGCAACAGTGCATCTTCCTCTCTGCCTCCCAAACACCTAGCAAAACACCTGGCAAAAAAACTTAGCAAAAATTCGTCACTATGTATTATACGTAAAACACGTACAACACATAATACATGTAATACGTATAATATTTTTCCACTTGTGTTACCTGTGTTGTACGTATGACTTGTCTAATACATATTAAAAAGGTTATATGTGTAATACGTATGATCTGTAGAATACATAGTGAAAATGTTATACGTTTAATACAACCGCGTGCGTTTCAGGGGCTCTCACCTTTCCGGTTGGTTGGATAATTTCTTAACGAGCCACCTTCTCTCGAGATTTAACGGAAAAGAGCATCATTGTAAAGTCAAAACGTGTTGGGTGGCCAGTGCCGAATTCGCTTTGTAATGCTTGACACATAGAAGATTTAACATTGAATACCGGATAGCTAAGGTCAAAACACGTTTGGGGGCCGGCAGCATAAGTCAGTATCAGAACAACGGGAAAGGTACGCTTTTATTGATTATTTAAAAAAGGAGCGAGGGAAGATCTATCATAAAAATAATGAGCCTCGCAGCCTGGCCCTTTGTTTTTTTTTTAAAATATCCTTTCTCTTGCCACATTAGAGATTGGGCTTTTAAAATTGGATTTAGAGGTAAGGTTGTACTTTTTGTGGCTGAAACTCGCAGCTGCTACCACCACTGGCAACCTGCAACCTGCAACCCATCCTCCCCAACGTTCCCTCTCTATCCCGGCATAGTACAGTAACCCATCTTTACTAGTCACCTCACCTTCGATCGATCCAAGCTTGTTGATGCCTACTATAGCTAACCCCAGCAAGAAAGGTTGAGGAGGACTAAGCCATCAGATAGATCATAGTGATTGTCGTCTCTGTGGACGATCGATCCTTCGTTTCGGGTTTGTTTTTAGAAATTGAGGGAAAAAGAAACAAAAATGGCCCTCGACTTTTTCCACAACCTGTGGGGAGCCCTTGAGGATTTGGACAAGGAGCGTACTTCAGCTCCCAACATTGTGTTTGATCCGCACCAGCAAATTTTGGACAGTTATCGACAATGTGTGGCTCGCCAGCTCTTGATGCAAATGACTCGTCCCCAACAAGATTTGGAGTCGGGGCCGGTTTCTGTTGCCTGGGGAGCCCATAGTCTGCTGCAGACCACCACGACCGTGGCGGCCGACAGCAAGGGCCGTATCGGTCGACGCCGCACTCGCATCAGTTTGATTACCGGCAAGGAACTCTCCATTCGACAACGATTGGGATGTCTCCTGGTCATTGAAGCCATTTGTGGAATGTACGGGGGCCAACAAAACAAGGCCGATTCCCCTCTCTTTCCCTTGTTGGTCGAAAACACACTCAAGAGCATTCAACAATTGACACAAGATGGACCTCCCAATATGCAAGCCGAAGGATTCCTAGATCCTGCCATTTTGGAAAAACTCGTAGAGTCCTTCTTGCCAAACATGTTGGGGAACTCCCAAAACTACCAAATATTCGTGGATGAACTTCTCGCGGGAAAGGGTGTCAGCAAGGAAACCATGTCCGTCCTCGAAGAGGCCATTCAGCAATACACAACATCGGTCGTATATAATGATGAAAACTACATTCCGCCTCTTATTGTAGCCAAAGAAGACCATGAACTGGCGGAACTCAAGAGACTGCTGGATAGCAAAGAAAAGGAATATGCCAAAGCCAAAAATACCAATGCGGACGATATTATCATCACTTCTTCGCAGATCCTACCTATCAAACCAGAGTCTCTCATGCGTCATCCGATGCCACCCTTGGAGGCGCCCTTTGCGAGACCCATGCCACCGCCCATGATACCTCTCTTTGGATTTGAGAGTCAAGAAGAACCATTGACCGAAGAAGAAAAAACTGATCTTTTGGAAGTCTTGCATGCTGAACTCATTTGGTTGACACCCAACAACCTGCGTCTCATGCTCATTCCAGAAGACGAAGACAAGGAAGATCAAGAAGCCAAAGAACTACAGTTTCGAAAGGTACTACAACTCATGAAGACGCAGGCATTCCAAAAAACACTGGCTCCCAATGACCACCGGACGGTATTGGAAATGCTCAACAGTGATTTGGTCAGCAAACCGGACGAAGAAGAGGACGATGACGAAGAAGACGACGAGGAAGATGATGATGAAGACGTTATTCCCAGTAGACTCATTCAAGAATCCGGTCTGACACCCCAGAATCTACCCAAATTGGTCGAGCAGAATCCTCTCATTGCCCATGAATGCCTCTTGCGAGTCCTTCCCAATGAACAAGAGGATGTCAAGAACGAGTACTTGTCGGCGCTGGTGGGGATGGACATGAGTTTGCACAGCATGGAAGTCGTCAATCGATTGGCCATGCACAATGTCTCGACGGACGACGACGAAGAAGATGACGACGACGATGAAGAACCCATTCTTCATCCAGAGTACATTAGTCTATTCATCTCCAGTTGTATTGCCAGTTGTGAGAACATGCAAGACAAGCATGCTCAAAACCGATTGGTTCGTTTGGTGTGTGTCTTTATTCAAAGTCTTCTCAGGAACAAGGTGGTTCGTGTCGAGGTGAGTACTAATATTCATGGCATTCTTTGGCTTCATTTGCTGTGGTTGAAATTTAATCATTGTCAACTCACTGAATACCTACTCACTCCGCTCATTTGTTTTTGCTTCAGGACATTTACTATGAGGTCCAGTCTTTCTGTGTTGAATTCTCGCGAATTCGGGAAGCGGCGTCACTGTTCAAACTACTGAAAGCAATGTAATAAGCAGGGAAGAGGAGTACAGTAACAACCAAGCAATAAGGTAGTAGGGCAAAATGGATGGAGAGACATTGCATTGGTGAAAGAGAAGGTATAAAATTATAGTCTTAATCATCGAGCGGGCTTGAAACAATAAAAGTACTGGTATCTGTATTTCGTTGCGGGGCCGTGCCAGTCATCAAAGGTCCAAGCAATTGTCGAAATGGATGGAAGAGTTACCGGGAGGATAGTGGATAATTGTTTGCTTACTATGGTATTGATCCACTTCCGGCATGAAGACATATTCAAGCTACATTCGCATCTACGGTACGGTAACCATCCCCATATGCGAGCCTCGAAACAAATACACTAGAACATGGAGGCCAATGGATCAGCGAGAGCAATGATTGCGAGCACGACAAGCAAATCAAGGCGAAGAACACCGGTGGAAACATCCTCGTCATCAGCTCCCGCATCCTCGCGATCAGTTTTATCCTCCTCGTCGTCGGTTTCGTCATCCTCGATGACTCCATCGTCTCCAACGGACGAGGCATTGCCCTGGTCCTCAGCACCACCACTTTGGCGACAAGTATCACTGGTAAGCTCCGTCACGGAGTAGTCCTGGAAGCCGGGGCTCAGAATGTACTGGGTCGACGCCACGAAACAAGTGTTACCTGCCGCACTGTGCGTTCCCTCAGCCTCCAGGAATGTCACATTGGGGTTGCCAGAGACATCCGGCATGTTGCGAATGGAGACAATCTCATCTCCAGGGCTGAAGCAAACCACAACAGGGTATTGTGCATTCTGCAAAACTAGATGAATATCCTGCTCCTTCATGGCTTCACAGAGCAGATCGTTGACTCCCGCAATGGGACGATTCTTGCAGGGATCTCGATCGTTTTCGGCAATGGCTGTTTCAATAAAACTGATAAAGTCTGGATTGTAGACTGAGAGCATGTCGTCCACTGGGACCATGTTGTTGGCAGCTTCAATTCCTGGCACTTCAAAGTCAGGAAGGTCAGAGGCAAGAAAGTCCAACATGGTTTGCCTCGCCTCGCTGGTTAACAAATCTTGGCCAGCCTCAAAATTGGGCATGTCGCTACGAGACGATGAGAAACTAAAGCCCAGATACTGCAGGTAGAATCTCACACCCTCCGGAAAGGTTCCGTTGTTGACGAAATCCACAATGTCAACAAACGTGGCGCCGGACACATCAAAGGGAGCACCTCCAGGATCCACACGAATGATATCGATTCCCATGGAATGCATCTTTTCTGCGACCGCGACCGAAGAGTAGCCTCCTTCACTGTATCCCATAATAAAGATCGAGTCGGCGACCGCGGAGCAATCGGTTTCATCTTCCAACAGTTTCTTGGCTTGGAAATACAGTGGCGTCACACTGGTCTCGTAGCTTTTGCGGACAATGTATCCACGGTACACTTGGCCAAAGCTTTCTCCCTGTGACATGTAATCACTCATAATAGTCACAGACCGAGTCGCTGCCGTGTAGAGAGTACTCAAGACAATCTCGAAAAAGTTATCTTGGTACACAAAGTCTGTGCTTGGCTGAGCCACAGCCCTAGTGCCATGGTTGTAGAGGACTGCCTTGTGCGTACCTCCGGCAATGGACGTGGAGTTATCATCTTTGAGGGGTATCATGACAAGACCCGAATGGGCAACATCTCCTCCATATCCACAGTCTTCCATAAAATCAGAGCAAACCGCGCATATCTTTCGCACTTGTACACCATATTTGATCTGAGGGAGTGCCAAGGTCTTGAGATCCGCACCGGCTGGCCCCAAGTTCTGGTCGATTCCAGTTTCAATCAAGTCGCCAATGACACCAGAAGTCCAAGTAGCCAAGACTTCACCACAGCTCGCTTGCTCTGATTGCTGCAATAGACGCTTGGAGGCGTCCGCGTTGGAACCAGTTGTCAACGCGAGAATGAAAGAGGAAAACAACAAAAGCTTCATCTTTGTTTATTTAAAAAAATACTGTGCCACTTTTTGACTTTCCAGAACGGCTTTTGTGCGACGAGGACTTTTCTTCTTCTGCTAATAAATGGCGACGCATTCGCGGCGTCAACGGAGAAAGATCGCGGTTCTCATCAGCTTCAGCACGACTCCAAAATGAGAACTGGTACCGTAGTCTAGCTAACTGGGGTATGGGGCAACTATAGGATATACCACAACAACAGGGGACTGTCATACTGGGCAAATACGGCAGTTACAGTGAAGTTCCGTTATGTGCAGTTACGTTTCGTGCAAGTACGTGCTATGTACAATTTACTATGTAAATTAGTGTAGTTAGTTACGTGCAGTTACGTGCAGTTACGTAGTGTTACGTGCTGTTACGTGCAATTACGCACCACTATGCATTTCGAAACCCATTGTAACGAAGTCCTAAAGTTGCCCCATACCCCTGGTGCAGTGGTGCAGTATCTTCGAGCTGTGGTCTTGACACCGTTCGTGGATGTACCGGTACCGGTAGGGTGCGGAACTTGGTCCCGTCGAACGGAAGAAGCTTGCTGCCACTGTTTCCAGCCTATGCAAAGAAGAAGAGCCTGTCATGGTGGTGAAGTTGTAGCTATGAAAGAGGAGTAGCTGCTGAAGAAAGGAGGTAAGAACATCATCTTAAAAGATGATAAAGTACATTGTAAAGGTAAGGTGTACCATGGTACCGGTACCCGGTATGGTACCGGTGGCTTGGCAGGATCCATCTCTTTGCTCGGGTTGCGGATGATTGAATCAATCGAATCGAATCGATTCCATTCCATTCACAATTCTCCCCTGGTCTTCTAGTAGTGCACAGACTGGGAGCGACTTTCAGCAGCTTCAACCACCTGCTATCCCCTTTTGCCACCCACCCGCTAATGCTAATCTTCCTTCGAAAATGCGGGAATTGGTTCAGTCACCCTTCAGGTCTTAGTACCATACTATACCGGTACCGGTGGTACGGATGTCCTTCGGAGTCATTGCTCCAAGGGAGAAATGGTTGATAAATCTGGTACGTCCGACAAAGGTTCGGTCCCGGTCGGCGAATCGAATAGAATGAAATCGAATGATCAATCACTGACGTCATTGTTCTTGCCAGATTTCGTCTTCGTCTTGATGATTGCTCCCAGGAGCGGGGCTCTGTGAAGAGCTAGCTTGTGGAGTAGACAACCGACGATGGCAAAGGCACAGTACACACATCGCCGTCAGTGAAAGACCCCATGCCCTGGAGCTCTTGAGTTGAGTTGTCGATTTTTCGGGACATTGAAATGGCGGCAACCAAAGATCCTACTGTATCTTCGGGCAGCATCGTTTGCAGGATGTTTCTCGGCTCCGATAGTACAGTAGTGCACGCCACTTTGTCTCTACTGATACTACGAATGCTTCGTGTGTTGCTCTGTAGCCAAATAGCCCCATTTTCTCGATCAACGGGGTCTCCCTCCCCATGGCAGCTTCGCAACTTCGGAGAGGTGTGGTGAGGACTCATTCATCATCGTCGCTGTTGGGGTACTGTAGTTCAACCAACCAACTTGGACAAACACACTATTCCCTGAAGATCGGGAGGTTCCTTCTCTTGCTGACGGGCGGGGGAGGACCTTCAGATATTGGTTCACAAACGCAGCGGCAACAACAAAAGTTGTCAACTTGCCCTTACATACACAAGCCCAGCACTGATTGGCCGCTCACGAATTGGTCAATTTGTTAAGAAGAGAATGAAGGAACTGCTTGAGGCGTTGGAACCTTCCTTTGGCCGTGACGACGAGGAGCAAGCCACAGTTGTAGAGCAGGCTCGGACCTTGTTGTCCATCAGCCAAGGTTTTCTCACTGGCTTGTCCTACCTAACGAACAAACTGCCATCATGGACTACTGAACTATTCGCTCACTTTTGTGCTTTCTGGATGACACTGTCAGATGGCATGTTAGTGGGTTGTGTGCCTGGCGGATCTTTGAACGAGAAGAAGGATGATCCACGGAGACAATCTATTTCAGTCATGTCACTTTCGCAATGCCGGGAAACTGGTACCTGAAAATGCCATTGCGAAGCCAACTTCATAATGCATCGCCAGCCAACATGTTTCGTCTAGAAACAGCGACGATGGATAAGAGACGGAGCATTTGAAATTTGCTTCATGGCAAAAGCCAATCAAACCAGTGATCCTTTACCTTTCTACTTTTTACTGCTTCCACTCTCCCTCCCACAATACCGGTACTGCCAAGTCTCCCTTGCACTCCACTGCTCACTTGTTTCCAAGCCAACCAACGTCCAACATCTCAGACTATTGACTTTGAGCCATTCTCTCCCTGAAGCGATCATGTGTCTGGCTGATATGCTTGTTTTCCGCTGGGACCCAAGAGAACAAGGAGCCATGCAGATAGATTTGCGAAGCATCTGTGCGCATCCGACCTTTTTTCAAATGCAGCGTTCTAAATGAAAAAGTCTATCGTCTCTTGAGTATTCAATCTACTTTCCATTTGAATTCTTTGGGAAGTGGAACAAATTCTCCCCAAGGTGTCACAATGCTGGCTTGGCTATGGAAGTTGAGCTGTAAGTTCATGCATGCAGCGAACACACAAGTCCAATCTTCCCACAGCTCCTTGCGCTCCCGAAATATCCCATCGAGTCGAGTCATTTTTCTCTCTCGGCGACGCAGCTGAACCCAATCCAGCCTTGCTCTGTGGAGCAAACAATTCCAGCTTTTCGTAAAGTGTGCCAGCATTTGTGCGATTGTGACAAACTGCGAGTGGGAGAAGACGAGGTTTGGCAAGATGTGTCACAAAGGGCACCCGTCCGCACTCGACACTGCACCGGTAAGAAGAGCATTCCCATCTCGTGGAAACGTGAGTTGAGAAGGCGTACCAACGTGAAGAAGGAGCGAGCACTTGACTACTATCGGAGCCATAACTGTACTGTTCGGAGGAGGCAGCTATTGATCACAGACCTGCCCCATCTCATTGCCTGCAGTTCTTCTGGTCTCCATGGTCCATCAAGAATCCTGGCTAGCTCTGCGTGAGCATTCATTCAATTAACACCCAGCTAATTCGCCCACTGCCTTCGAGGGCATGGTGGTCTCCAAAACATTGGCAGGATCCCACGAAGGGTTGATCTTGGCTGCGGAGGTCGACTGTGAGTGACTCAGCCGAGTTCTAAGTTATGCGGCGAGCCTCACGCAAGCCAAAAAAACACTCCACCTGTGCACGACTCTCCCTGCTGTACGGTACCTTCTCTTACTGACAGCCGGGGGAGGACATCCGGAAATAAGGCAACATCAACAAGAAACTTGTCAATGTGCCCTCACCTACGAAACAGCGACGATAACAGAAGAAGCCAAGGCCTCCATCTACAAATGCCAATGCAACTTTGGAATTTGAGACTCCCTCTCTCTGGAGCGGTCATGTGCCTTGTGTGTGCCCTTGTTGCGGGATTTCGGCATTTCAGGATTTCGACAAGCTACGAGCTGACTGGATAGCTTGGCAACATGTCCCAAAAAGATTTCTGCCAACGGAAAGCAGTCAGCACTCGACACTGTACCCGAAGGAGCATAGCTCGTGGAAACAGGAGTTGACGAGGCATCAAGATGAAGGAGCCAGATGCGGGCACTCCACAAAGCAAGAAATCCAACTATTGGAGCTACTTGTCGGAAGGAGGTAAGGTTGATTACAGGAGAGTCTCATTACCGCGAAAGTTGTGAGTACCATTATTGTTGGATTTCCGGTTGGGGTCAAAGAGGAAAAGGAGGCATGCAGATTAATGCTGTGCACTCATCACAGGCTTATGCAACGCAGAAGTGCAAATCCGGCCGGTCTCAAAATGGAGGGCGCAGCTGCGGCCAATGAAATGGCACAGCAATGTTCCTTTTACTGTATTCACCCAACTTGCTATGCGGCTTCAATGTACTCTCTCTTCCAACACCCTACTTCTCCACGCGCCATGTTCAACGCTGGCCTTGACGAATTCTACTGCACAAATTGATCCTAGAGGGTCGTGTGTGACTATATGAAGAACCCATTTCACCGCCATGGATTGGTTTATTGTAAGGCACCAGCAGCTTTAGTCCCACCTCCCTTGCCTGATACTCCAGTCCCTTTTTCTCCGTTGAGCCCCCACATAATCCTTTCCTTTGCTTTACCATGGAGTCGACACGAAAGCGAGCAAATATACTTGACTGCATGAGCCTTTGCGAAACCCGTAGACCCGGGAACTCCAAAAATGCAAATCCTATAGATTACTTCCTGTCACCAGCCAAACGCTAGATGAAACAGACATTGTTGTGGATTATCCTCATCAGATTGTTTTGGCCTTTGCAGCTTTTAAAAACTTCCTCAATCATCGTCTAAAAATAATTTGCAAACCACCAACCAACCCTGTGGATATTCATTCCTAGAGTTTTTTGATGGCATCCATGACAGCCTGTTTGGCAGGAGGAGAGACAGGACTACTTCCAAAGTATACATCACACATGGCTTTAGTGAATACTGCCGACTGGATGGTTCCTACATTTCCCATGGCATTCTTGTAGAGGAGTGTATCACCACGAATGGTCATGATCAATTCCGATCCCTTTTCCAGGTTTCCGCTGGGATTGAGCTTTTTGAATTCATCCAGCCTGTCATGGAAAGCAGAAAAAGAAAAGAAAAAGTGCCAAAGGGTAAAAAAACAAAAATGAGGAAAGAACAACAAGAATAGTATACACCAGAACAAAACAAGAAATAAAAAATATTCTCTTACGTGTCCAGATCTTGTCCATTCATACGAGGCTTGAGGGACTCTACAATGGCATCGTTGTATTTGTCCATGGTCATGCTTCGATTCATGACGATGCGAATGGTTCGATGATTGTTGGGATCCAAGAGTGCGGTTTCAATGGCTTTATCGTCCTTGGGCATGCCAAGAAAGTTTTCCGGCCGAAAGTAGGCTCCCACGGCATAGACCTTGACAAAGACGTACTTTATGCGGACCCCACAGCCCATGAATGTAAATCCATTGACCATGGGAGGAAACAGGATTCCCGTGTCGGGTTCCGTGACAGAGTCTCCCACGGAAATGACGGGAAGACCTGCATTGCAAAAGGTCTTTTGGTTCTGCTGCTGCAAACAAGTAAACGCCAACACGGTGGAAGCCGTGGCACCCGCCAATACCAAGGGAAGTTGTCGGCTAGTCGTCGTACGGACCGCCGACGACATGGCTCGAGAAGTAGTAGTGGTAGCCTTGGGTTGGTGGGTGCGGGCCATCAGTGAGGCACCACGTCGGACAATCAGCTTGGAAGACATCATGGTCTTAGTATTTTCTATTATCTGTCTGTTTGTTGTGGAGAAAACAAGATGAGCAAGGATGTTTTTGGATATCTATTTTCTATCGAACAAAGTTGTGAAAGTAAGGAGTCTACCGGTAGCTAGCAACAACAATCCATGATCTGTGCCACATCTTCCAGCCCTTTCAGCGGGTTCGCACGGCGTCTGCAGATGACAAGCCATCAATGACGGTGCCTTGATTGGATCTTGTTTTGGATCTTTCTCATTGAAAGCTCTAGCCCTAAAATTCATTTTGCGAAAAAATAAAAGAACTAGCGTGACAGCATCAAAAGGAAGTGGAACGACTGACTACTAGACTAAGTACCAGGCTCAGTGCACTGCACAACGCCGCCACTTCACCCCCTTTGTTGTTTCTGCTGATGGCCTCTTTGCTGCCGAAGCTACTGCTGTTCTCCAACGGCTCTCCCAGCTTTTGGCTCACAAGTGGTCCAAGCCCTACTCTGTGGTTCGCTCTTTCATCTCGGCCAGGTTGAGCATAGCTCTTGCCCGTGCCACGACATTGTGTTTGAGAGGCTCCCGTGTCTCCGCTCTCAAGGTTTCCAAGCGTTGGGATGACTGTGGCGCCCTCGATCTCTTCCGCTAGTCTTGCTCCTTTGCTCCTCCCTGCCCTCCTGCCTTCACCCCTATCCTTGGTTTCCCTGTTGCCCTGCTTGCGCCCTTGATTGCCTGCCTTGCGTTCCTGCGTCGTGCCCCCCTTGACCTCTGTCTCCGTCCTCCTCTTAGCTCTCTCTAATCCATAGTAAACCCGATTCAAACTACTAGACTAGATCTAAAAGACTGCCCTCTATCCTCTGAAGACAAACAAGAAGACGAAGTCAAGTGTACCAAACAAACAGAGTGGGTTAGCATCTCTCACGCACCATTCAAGCTCCATCTATTGGCAAAACTGGCAGAAATAAGAGAAGCAAGAAAGATGGCGGTTATGTGTGAATGTCCTGTCGAGATTGCCTTTGATACATCCGCGCTTCCGGATTGTAAAGAAATTTCCCACCACGAGTTTCTGTCCAGTTTCCTGACCGATCAAGCCCTGACAGACCTTTCCCTCTTGGGCAATGATGGCCAAGTCGTACGGGCCAATCGATTGGTGTTGGCCGCGCGGAGCAAAGTCTTTCGGAGTATGCTCTTGGGAGAATTTGCCGAAGCACGAAAGGATGTCATTCCCTTGAACTACCAGGGATGCGTCCTGCAGGCCATTCTTGAATACATTCTCACCGATTCCGCCGAACTGCTGCGAAAAGGTACCTTGCTGTGTTACAGTGATGATGGTGATGACGATGAAAAAGAAGACAGCAATATCAACAACAATATCACTCCTTCATATTCTTCTAATGACGGCGGCGATGATAACGACAACAACCCCTTTGAACGAGTCAAAACACTCGTGTCGCTCATGGGCGCCGCCATTTACTTCAATCTACCACTTCTGTGCGAAAAAGTCTTTCAACACTTGGCTCACTGCCTCAAGAAGGAACCATCACTCTCCTTTGCCGTATTGGAAGCCTACAAACAAGAAGCACCCGCCATCCCCACACAGCTCAAGAACCTGGCCATGTCCAAATTGAGTACCAACATTGAAAATTTGGATGAGAAATGTGGCGTCTCACTCCTCAGTGCGTCGTCGCTGGAAGAAATATTAAAAGACAACACTATTCAAGCTGATGAACAGAATCTATTTGAACTCGTCTTGCAGTGGGCCGAACAAGAAGAAGACGACGACGACAATCATCATCATGATCGATCCCTGGCGGCATCGGAAATGATACAACACCACGTACGTCTTGATTGGATTGATCCCGAGTACTTGTCCACCACCGTGGCGGAATCCAATCTAGTGTCGCAAAAATCACTGCTGGAAGCATTCAAACTACAAGCCCTGGCGGCCAAGAAACAACACAATGTCGTCTTTCGTCGACGACGATGTCAACCGGTGTGGAACAGTACCTTGTCCGAAATGTCGACAGCCGGAGAAATGCGTGGCGTCGACATGTTGCAGTACCCTTCCATGTCTTCCGGGATACATCGATGGACTGTGGAAGTTGTCAAGGATGTCACATTTACATGGCTAGGAGTGGCGCTGCCATCCAAACCGTTGGACCTGCACAAATGGCTGGGAAAACAAGATGCCGGATGGGCCTATGGATCCAATGGTGCCGCCTGTCATCAAACCGACACCTACAATTGTGTGCACCCAAAGTTCAAGGAAGGATCCCGCGTCACAATGACACTGAATCTACTAGCAAACGACGAAGAAAAGAACGGTACCCTGTCGGCGTCGGTCGATGGAGGAGAGGAATTCATTCTCTTTGACAATCTACGAGCACAACTGGTGCCAGGCCAAGAAGACTGTGGCTTTGTACCGGCAGTATCCAACCGTGCCCCCGCCAAGATCCGACTCATTGATATTGAAAGGTTATGTTAGGCTGGAGAGATGTCATGGAACAGTGGCTTCTGGTTGACAATAAAGACACTTGAGTCTGATGCTGCCGTATGATTTGCTTATACAATGAAAGCACACATTGATTCACATCTATTGACAAAGTCTTTGTGGTTTGTGCAATGCTGCGTTTCATCCATTAGGCTGCAGTGGAGTAAGGTTGGAGCGTCCCGCCACTTTTGACGTTATAGGTGAACCAGTGTAAGATTCGACAAGCTACGAACTGACGAAAGGGCTTTGAGCCTTCCTCTCCTTCGAATGTCATCACATTGTTGGAGTTCAGGTTGGAACCCAAGAGAACAACGAGTCATGCAGATGTAGCGCTCTCAACGGAGACATATGAAGCATCTATTCAAATCCGGCCTTTCTCATATTCCAGCATTTTGAATGCCTCTGCGCTGTGGAGCAAACAATTCCTGCTTTTCTTCGTCCACGGGGCTGCAGTAGGAAGAGCGTATAGGTGTGCCAGCATTGTGCGATTGCGACAACCTTAGAGGTCTGGCAAGATGTGCCGCAAAGGCCACCAGTCAGTACTTGTCGCTGCACCGGAAGGAGCATTCTCATCTCGTGGAAACAGGAGTTAAGAAGGTATACCAAGATGACAAGGAGCGAGATTAGGACCGCAGCTAACCAAATGACACAACGATGTTCCTGGCTGCAGTGGGGGCAAGGTCGGAACGTCCCGCCACTTTTGACGTTATAGGTGTACCGGCATTGGCTTGGCAACATGTCCCAATAGACATCTCTACTAAAAGCCAGCAGTCAGCAGTCGACGCTGCACGTTGAGCCTTCCTCTCCGTCGAGGGGTCGTGTGCCCTGTCAATGCCGTGGATTCCGGTTGGGACCCGCCTGCAGATGTAGTTCTCAACGGAACCATTTACGAAGCATCTTTGCGAATCTGACCTTTCTCAAATGACAGCATTGAGTTTTCAATCGAGTTCCCATTTGACTCGCCGAACCAATGATTCCCTATGCCAGCAGCCCGAAAGGCGGTGGCCACAATGCTAGCTTTGGTGTGGACGTCGAGCTGTGATTTCACGCATGCTGCGAACCCAAAGCAAAACTGTGCTGCGCTACATCCAACGGAGTCGAGTCTTCGTTTCTGCAGCCGCAGCCAATCCAACCATGCGCTGTGAAGCAAGCAACGTTCCTGCGTCCCGTAGCTTGTGCATGCAGGAGGTTTGGCAGTGCCGTACATGTACTAGTATGTCCCACCAGGCAAGACTTGACACGGCGCCGGTGGCGAGCGATTCCTGTCTCGTGAAAGCAGGCAGCTAGCGATCAACACCAAATCGAAATTTCCATGTTCACCTGAAAACCCGAACAACCCGCAAGCTTTTTGGGTCACAGGTTATTATTGTACCGCTCGAAATTTCCGTGTTCATCAGAAAACCTGCACTAAACCCTCCAGCGCTGCGGCCGTGCCGTGTCACATTCAACAAACTTCTGGTCAACGATTGGCTTCTTGACGATGGCTGAAGAGACGACTACAACCATGGCAGAACGAAGAGCTAGGCTGAGCGCCGAGTTGAAACGGGCTGGTCTCCCTTCCTTGGGCAACTTCGAAGTGGAAACTCAACTTCGTTGTCTTCGTGTTCAAGGAAATGATATGTCTATCGGCGACATTTGTAAATTGTCGAATGGGTACATGGAAAGAGGCTATCCAAAGTTGACGGATTTGGTAGGAGTCGTTGCCCCTGCGATTCGCCAACACTTGCTTCAGGAGCAAGGATGTTGGAAAAGCAATGACCCAGCATGCCAGGCCTTTGTGGCTGCCTCTGATGACTTTCCCACAGTTCAGTCCGTCAAGTCGAAACAGGCGGCACAAGACAAGACTGAGCGTGTCAAGAAGCTAGAAGATGCGTTTAAGAAGCAAGGGCTGACCGCGGCGGCACCAGGGATAGCGGGGACTCGTTGCGAGGCTCAGAGTCTTTCGTACGCCGAACGCAAGCATCGTTGACCACTATATTCAACACGACAAATTGCAACTTAGGCAGGCCTCGTGGCGTTATATCGACAAGGGAGGAGGGAACGCCGACACGATTGCCTTTGCTGCTGCTGTTGAGGCACGACGACAAAAACTTGTATCCGCTTTTGGGGATCTGGGTCTTGAATGCTCCGATGCTCTTCGTAAACCGCCGTCATATGGACTAGTATCGAAGCTGTCGGACATCCGTGAAATTGAGGATCTCGTCAAACGTTCCTGTGGAACGGTAACAGACTCACCTATTGTACATTTCCTCTTGGGCAAGGAAGACCGCGTTCGCGTCCATGAAGTTGTTGAGGCCGCATTTGCGGAACGAGCATCGAGGCAATCATTTGTTGAAGCATCCGCAATGGAATTTGATCTTGATCTGGCCGGCCTGGGGACAGCAAACCAATACTCTTCCCTCTTCCACCTACTCAAGACTTTTGTGAAAGATGGCACCGGTGATGGGAGACGGATTGTGGCAACAATTGCCTTCCACGAGCGGCTTAGGAAACGCTGGGTGCAGCGTTACAATGCTGACAGACTATTCCGCGAGTCACCTCGTACAGAGGAGCGCTTCAAGGCAGCTGCCAATGAATCCAGTCAGCGAGTTCTAGCTCTTGCTCAAGAACTAGAGGAGGAGAGCGACGAACGCCTCAGGGCAGTCATGACCGGTCGTCTCCAGGCTTTACGAGATGAGCATGGGAGAGACACACCCTCTTTGAGTAACGAAGAGGAAGAACGAATCAAGAAGAGTAGTTTTGTTTTATACGGGGTTGGTTCACTGAAGGCAGAAATCTCGTCATATCGAGAAGGGTTGCGCCGAGCGAAGCTGAAGAAAGCTGTGACGGAAGCAGATCTGCCAATGACTTTCTCCTATCGCGACAAGCGCTTTGAGCAATTCATCAAGGGGGAAAGCTGTTTCCCTAGCGAGAAAGATTTTGTTTTAGCGTTGCAGGAAGAAAAGGCTGCGCGGCAGGCAGACGTTGTGGACAAGCTCGCCAGTTTGGGCGGCATTTCTGAACTGCCTCATCACCATCCAATCTTGCGCTATGTGGATGAGGGCATCGGCTGTCCCGAAAAATTGCTCGGGAATTACCGCGAAGCTCGACTTCAAGCGCTCCTCCGACGTTCTGGGGTGACCACATCACTGCCCAGAGCTTCAACACTACCGTCGTGTCTGGCATTTGTCCAAGGTACGAGCCAGCAATCCTGCGAAGAACTGGTGTCATCTGTGATAAGTGGAAGGACAACGCGAGAGCAGGAGATTGCCCAAGCGATATCAGCCTGTGATGAGACCAGCGAGAGCCTATTTAAAAACCGCCGATACCGAGACCGCGGCAGTGAACTCGAACTTGCTGTGAAGTTCTACGTGGAAATGGGAGGGTGCAGCGTCGGATGGATTGCAGAGGCAATTACATACCATTCCCACCTTTTCAAGGCAGACCAAGTTTTTGGAGAATTGAGCAGACTTCTTCCTACCTTCTCACTTGCAGAAGTCTCTGAATGGCATCGCGAGCTAAGTGAGGCAGCAGTTCCTCTGATTGGCACTGTTGTTCACAACTGTCTTTGTGATGTTACGGGAATACTCCGGGCTTCGAGAGTTAAAGACAGTTCGGCGGTCTCCTCACTTGACGTTGCAGCGTGCATCTCCCAAACTATATCCGCCTTCTGTGAACCAGGATTCATTGATTCGGTGCAGTACGGAATCTCCCAACATCACGATACGCAGTACGATCAGCGAATCGTTCTGCTCCTAACACGTCCCAATGCATGCTGCTGGAAAAGCGCGGAAGAGGTCGTGAGAGAGATCAGGCAGGAACGAAAGGATAGGATTGAGCTTTTTGACAAGCACTGTCCCAGTAGTGCATACGCGGAAACTACGTATGCTTCAAGAGACTACGCGCGTTTAGGCGTACCGACATCGGCACGTGCATGGGGTAGGCTAACCGATCAAGACAGAGAAGATGCTTTCATTTACAAAAGTGGTCCACGTGCAGATTTTGTCAATGGCAAACTCACTTTGGAGGCTGCTGTTCGCGAAACTCGCCGCCAACAAAGGTTCGAGGTGACGAAAGCGGCGTTATCAGCGGCATCATTGCCCGCCTCTCTCATGGATAAGAATCAGGACTGCGTTGACTTTGTCGACGGCGACAGTCAAGCGGATGAAGGCAACACCTCTGCTTCTGCGTTGATCTCGAGATTGCAGGAGCAAAAAGCATTGCGTATTCGGCTCCTTGACCTGATTTTTTCACATGCATCTATCGTTGACACTTGCATTGACTATGGCTCGGCCGTCTACGACAACGACCCCTGGGCGGCCGATGGCGATCGCCATTTTCCAACTCGAGAGTACCATCGATGCACTCGAATGAAGTATATCGAGTTGGGTGAAGGGGAGCCAGATGATGTGCTGCATACATGCATCATGCAAAGACGAATGCAACGAGCTGAAAAAGCCATTTGCAGTCGTTTTGGATATTGCATTCAAAACCAGGACCACGAATGTTGGATGCGGAAGAGCAAGACGTGCAAGGAGTTCGTTGCGAGGGTTGAGTCCGGTTTGCCTACCGATGAGGAGATTGAAGCCCTTCTACAAATGCTTGAGAAGAAGATCAACAATGCCGTCAAAACATCAGATGGTGCAGGTGGCACCGAAGAAAGCGACGACGAGCGCAGTAGCTACATTGGTGATGACTACGACTATGACTACGATTATGACCTTGGTTTTGGTTACGGTGGAAACTACTAGCAAGAGTAGCAAAATGTCACGAGAGGACAGAGCCAAATGGAGTAGTCGGAGCGCTCAAATGATGTTCGAGCGATGGAACTCCCAGCTGCGGACGGCAGTCTCTACGGCCTGGTCAGCAGTGCTACATGTACCTTTGGCTTAGATAGTGCGATTGTGAGCGCCAACTTGTGTAATAGTTGAAGTTTCCATGTGATGAAAGAGAACGTGTCCTCCTCAGCTCCCAGCCACCGCCCACACGGACAAGCCAGCCCATGGGCCCTTCATTGGTGCTCAAGTACATGTCTAAGTTTTCAGTAGAGAGCGGATTTGCATGTTTATGCTATCAGTAAGTAGCACGGCACCGTAGCTAGAATTTGGTTGCGATGGCGGGCTTTGCGAGAATTTCAATTCCTGCTCACCCTGCCTGCTGTCGTCACGAGCAATGACAGAACTTGCATTGACTGGCTCCTGCATGGTACCAGTCAAGGTCGAGCATACAGGCATTGCCAGTCAGGCAGTGGCTGTCCATGGACGCTTTGGAACTAATCATGGGCCATCACGTCATCTATCTCCAAACCGTATCGGTGCGCATGTCAGGCACGGTGGCTACATGTATGCATACGAGCAACCAAGTCACAGTTCTTTAGTACGTGAGTTTAGTTTATGAATGCATCAACCAATCAAGTGTGGGTGCTCCTTTCTCTCTCCCCCTCTCCCAAAAGATGAACAAACATCACGAGAACCTCCTGTCTAGTTGGACGCTTCCTTTTTCTCTTCGAGAAACAACAACTCACTGCTTTGATCCTGTCGTTCTTCGGCCCCTGGTGGTTCTTGCTTACTACTGCTAGTACTGGCGTTGGCGATGATTGCTTCCTCCTTTCCCTTTTTGGTCGTAGTCGTTGCAGTGGTCGTCGTCGTTGTACTACTATTATTGAATGGATCTTCCCCCCATTCCGCCTTGACAAACTTTTTGAATGCCGCACTGTACCATCGATTCTTGATATGATTTTCAGAGCGTTTACTGTCAAAGTACTTGGTGGAGATTTCGACCCATCGTTTGCCGTGTTTTTTGAATGCCATGTAGAGTTTGTAGTCTTCATCTTTGGTAAAGGGCGATCGATCAATTTTGGGATCGAGATGATTGAGCCATCGATCGCGAATCTGTTTTCCAATGCGACCGGGCAGTAAATTGGCCAAATCGGACCACCGGGTAAACGGTTGTTCCGGCGATGTCGTGACGGCTTGAATGAGAATGCGATCTTCTTCGTCCGACCAGGTCGTCTTGACATAGTTGGATGGATTGACTTTTTGGCGTTTGTTACTGGTGTGGTTGTGATGATTGTGATGATTGGTAGTGGGTTTGCTGTACCATGTCTTGTTGTTGTTGTTGTTATGCTTGTTGTTATGGTTGTGCTGCTGCTGTTGTTGTTCCTGAGGAAGGGCCATGGAAAAGAGATTGCTGTTGGCATGGAGTTGTTGACCCGGTGGTTCTGAGGCTACTCGTAGTAAACCAGGAGCATCTTGTTTGGCTTGCTGTTGTTGTTGCTGCTGATAGGTGTTGTATGGAGCATGGCCATTGTGGTTGTTGGTGTTTCCACTGCCACAGGAGGATCCACTGCCATTGTGGTTGCTATTGTTGTAAGGAGGCATGCCAGTATTCGTATTGCTGGTATTGTTGTTGTCTAGACCACATTGCTGTTGCTGTGCTGCTTGTTGATGATGCAACGCCGCATAAGCATATGCCGCTCCCGTGGACAATTGCTGATGCATCAACTTGACCAATGCGACGCGAGCTTCGTCAATTTGAAAGGAACGCAATCCCTCTCGTTTTCCCGCACAGGCAATACAGTAGGGACCTTCAATCGATGCCGATGGATTCACGGCCAAGACAGGAGTTCGATGATCGCTGAGTTTGCCCGACATGGAAAACTGATTCGCACACATGACACACGCCAACATGGACATGGTCACGATCGGTTGTGGGTGGGCGGCGGCTTGGCCTGGTGGACCACCGGCAGCAAGATGATCCCACATGGCAGCATTGTCTTGCATCATTGCGTTCTATTGTTGCTTTTACGTTAGTTGGCACCGATTCTCTTTCTTATAACTCTCTTCTTTCTAGCTAGCTAGAGTTGGGTTGGTCAGTTGAACAGTTGTCTCTACACAGCAAAGAAGTGTGTGCCATAGGGCTGTAAACTAGACACAATAGCGTACAGTAGCACCGCCAATAGTAGCTAGATAGCCAGCGGTTGTATCGAGAAAAAAGTGGTCGCCAACTGTTGCTTTCGATGCGTTGTGATCACCTTTGGTGCAGCTCCACCGAATGGAAAATCGAAGGTTGGCAGTTGGATGCTGACCGTTGAAACGAATGTCGGCCTCAACGGAATTTTGCACCGTCGCCCCGCGTTGGATGCATGTTTCACAAACAATGATCTTTGGAAGCACACTTACTTCTACTCACAAGCTGAGCCAGCACCTGGCATTGTTTTGTCTACATACTCAGAGCTCTGTTGTGTTCCAGGAGCACCTCGCGAACAATGCCCTCCTTGTTTTCTTCCTTCCTCCAAGAGCACTATTTTGCAAGCACAACGCAACGCATCCGCGGCCCAGCATCGATCACAAGGAAGCCTTCCTGGACCGTTCCGTTCCGAGCAACCTGCAACAATGACGACGACGCCCCGATCTCGACGACGGAACCACCGCATCCCACGATACCAGCAAAAAGACAAGAACAGCAAGAGTAGCAAGAAAGGATGGAGGAGAAAACTAGAGTTCCTGATACCTCTATTGGCGGCATACATGCTGGTAGTCTATCAAATGGGGGGACGTGCACATGGGGATACACAACGACGAAAGTTACCGCAGATGGAAGATGTGGGCTTTTGGGATATCGATTGGGAATCGACGCTTCCACTGGAATTGGCATCGCAATGGGGAATGACGACGAGCGATACGAGTGATGCACAATCCACCATCAGTGGTAGTACACCTGGCACACCACCAGAACAACCAGCAGCTCTGTCGTCGTCCTTTGTCATTGACATTTTATCGATTGGTTCCAATGCCCGACTCGATCTACTCGATGCACAACGGGCAACCTTTGGAGCGCATCCCAATGTCCGTCATTTCATCCAGGCTACCGAAGATGACGATGCCGATCCGCACTGTTCCCGCGACCTTACCGACCAGCAAGTCTTTGAAATCTCCAAGTTTTGTGGACGACAACCCAATCTACGAGGCGATACATCCGAATCGACACACTTTTTGCGATTCATGCGCAACCAATTTGCCAGCATTCCCTGGCTTCAAAAGAAGGCATCTCCCGTGGGATGGCTCTGTGCCCAACGACGGCCCATTCATGGACTGTACAAGGCACTCACCATGTATAGTGCTGGACAGCAACAGCAACAAAACAACAACAACAATGCCACGCTCCCCGACTTGTTGGCCATTGTCGACGATGACACGTATCTCAATATTCACAAACTGGCGCAAGTCTATCGCGATGACACGCCACAGGATCCACTGGTACGAGCGGGCTGTTTGGTCCGGACACCCATTCACCTCTTCAACTTTACATTTGCTTTTGGAGGATTCGGGTTGATTCTCAACAAGGCGTCTCTGGAAAAACTGCAACGACCCTTGGGCGATTGCACACACGGGCGTCGCCATCTTTCTGCTTCCTATAATAGCCATGATCATTCGAACCAGGACAAGGCAGTCTGCCAGCGACTGGCGGAAAATCAAATTGGAGAATACAAGCTGTTCCAAGAACAACAGCAGCCGCAGCAGCAGCCACAGAAACGTCCAATGGCACTGATAGATCTCATGCAGGCATATGCCACTAGCAAACCCTACCGAGACTACCAGTCTTGGGCCAGCGATGGTTCCACGGGCTATTGTCTCCATAGTGATTGGTAAGAAGTTGTAGCTGCTTTTTGCCATTGAGTGATTCGATTCGCTCCGGAACATGTCTCTTGCTAACAGAACTGCGCCCTTCTTTTCTCTGCAGGGCCATGGGATACTTTGTCAACTATTACAATTTATCCAGACACACCTCGGATCCCTATTTTGCCGACGTTGCTCACGACAACTTGGAGACTTGGTTGAATTCCATCATTTACAATCGACCCAAAGGACTCTGTCGCCACGTGTCGGCACGGCGCTGTACAAGCAGTAGCTTGGTTTGTCATTACATGACGGCACAAGACATGAGGCAACAATCCAAGATGGGGGCAATCATTTGACCAAGAAACTTTAGAAAGTTAGTTGCAGACGACAAACTACAGCACAGTACAGCACAACACAACAACCATTCCGGCTCGTTCTCGATGCACGGCCGGTAGCACCAATGCGACGACAGTACTTAAGTCTTACTTTCAAGCTAGCCAGCAGCCTAGCTAGTTACCTGTAGAATCACAAAGGTGAGCTTCCAGGCTGTCAGGGCTCCCTACCGTACCGTAGCTACCGTAGTACCCAGCCAAGTCCAGACATGGCCAAGAAGGATTCTTGATACTGTACTTCTCGGTGAGGGCGTTATTGGAGTAGACATGTCAAGGTTGCTTGTGCTCGCTCAAAGAATGATGCATACGCCCTTTCCAATTTGGTGTATGATGTCACCGCCACCAGTGACCAAGCTAGATCAAGAAAGAGCATAGTGATGGCAGCATTCTAGGCTGCCACCAGCCAATGAATGACATCAAGCTCAGCGTTTTGCCTACTATGATAGATAGGCAATCCATCCCTTCTCTACTAAACTAGACTAAGGCAGTGAGACTGAATCCATTTACGGTACGGTAGCTGGCTTGAAGACCGTCTTCCCACTTTCTGCCTTTCTGCCCCGGCAAAGGTTCAGGATGACAGCCGCCTTTGTGCGGAGCTGATCCTTTTCTCGAATCATAAAGACAACTTCAAATAGCACGGGTCCTACCGAGGGGTGCTGCTGGATTCGATTCGTCACAAGCCCTCAAAGGATAAATCTCTGTAGTGTGTGGGGTTCAGTTAGTTATTCCCGTTCGAAGAATCTTAGTGTATCGTAGCCCCTCTCCGTCGATGTGAGACATGCATTATGCATTCCAAACATCCAAGTTTCGTGTTTGGCATTTGCTTTGCCCGGAATAGCTATCTAGCTAGATTTGTGAGGAGGGTTCTTTAAAAACTTGATTTTACGGCTTATCGTCGAGACGGGAGCTCTGCAAGCCATCTGGCTAGCTCTAGAGGTAGGGTATGGTTTTCGGTTCAAGATGAGCTTATTACTAGTATTATATTACTGGAATCCCTATCGTTGCCGTTCGTCCTGTGCGGACAATCCGGCGTTACAGTAGCTACGGACAGTAGGCTACGGTCGTAAAGGTTGAGTGCAGCCAGTTGGCTGGTTTCTACTCAAATTTGTCGTCAATCTTGAGCGGTGATCTACTGAACCTGTCCTCCAGCACCTTGGGTGGGGCTCTAGATGTATGTTGAATCGAATCGAATCATCCAGCCAGTGTACGTACGTACGAATGTATAGAATCCTCCAGAGATGAGAGAAAATATGTGTCGTTTGAAAAAAGCCAGCCGACGGTCTCCCTGCGGTAAACAGCAGCAAGCAACGTACATGACTTACTCTGACTTGAGATCTTTGAGGCTCTCCGGAGGTTGCATATTGTCGTGACTTCCATTACTTGCAGAATTCATAATGTGGATCGATGCGTGTCCATTATTACTCTGTTCGTCCGACGGCGTCTTGAGTGCTGCTTGACGTTGCGGTTGTTGTTGCTTGTAAAATTTGTCGGTATTGGCTTGATACCACCAGTACTGACTAAACATCATGACACTGATACTGGCACAAAATGCAAAATTGAGTATCATGTTCCAATCTCCCTGGGCTTCTTCAAACGTGGTAAAAATCCGGAGCAATTCTCCCGCCAAGTTCATACTGGTCGTGACAATGGATTGCGCCCCCGTGTGTTTGACCCGGTACGTTTCCATGACTTGCAATCCTCCCGAGTAAATGATAATGACGTCGTTCATGGCGTGCAAAAGATACCGGTATCCCTGCGGCAAAAAGCAACAGGCGGCCGAATAGACAACGCCCAGCAGGGTGGCAATGGCTTGTTCGCGGGGACTGGTTTTGGAAAACTTCCACATGAGAACCACTTGGACCATGGTTTGGATCAGTAATACCAGGTTTTCACCGTACTGCATGCAGAACATGATAACATAGATACCGGTAAGGTAAGATAGATGAGATAGATGTATACCCCACAGAGTACTGCAACATTTTGTTTGCTTGTTTCGTCAAAACTAACTTACCGCCGTGAACGGATACCCCAATTGTACACTGTAAATACTGGAATTGATGTAGTAAAAGACTTCCGTGTAGAGACTCATGGGAGAGAATCCTTCGGCGGATTGTGCTTCGAGCATATTCATGAGCGTGGGAGCCTTGTTGAAGCAAGCGGCCACAATGATCCCAATCCCCAGGATGCGCGACGCTGCCACACTCAGACATCCTTTGGTGGCAAAATCGTACACTGCCAACGTTTCGACTTGATGGAGACACGTCACATACAAGTCTTCTGCTGCTGCTGTTGTTGTTGTGGAGTCCTCGGCATCCAGCGTCCACATCCATCGCGCCAAGGGTGTCACCAGAGGGAGGGAGGATAATGAGATCATTCTTCTGCTGGACTGTGGCTCAACAATAAAAAGGTGATGATCCGAGTGCAATGATGAATGGTAGCACCTGCAGCAGTCCAGCAACTTGGACTACTAGCTAGCTAGGAAGTTGGTGCGTCCACAACTGAGACAATAAGGTGGAGTGGGAAGGTGTCTAATCCATTGGCGGCATTGGTTTGGTACGACTGTACCGGTACGTGGTCGGCTCTCCACAAACCGTTGGATAGAGGGTCCGTTTGATTCTAAAAAATTCGATTCAATTCGATTCATCACTCGATTGAAGATTCGATTCGATTCAATTCGATTCACGAAGCATGGTCCTTTCGTGACAACCCTATGGACAAGTATAGTACCGTACTAAACACCGTGGAAGAGGGTTGGAATGGACCGTTTGATTCACGAAGCATGGGTCTTTCGTGACTATTGCGGTAGGTAGTAGGGTACAGTAAAAGAGGAGAACCAGAAGATGCTGTGATGCCGTAATGATGCCGAAGTAAACGGATATCTGAGCATTGAGCTGGTGCATGCATGCATTGGTCCAAGCTGGCTGGCCAGAAAAAAAAACTGTCGGACAAGCTAGAAGAAGTTACTAGTTCGCTATGGCACCAATGCGACGACAGTACAGAAGTCACGACTGTAGTCACATGTGCATTATATTATATTACTGGAGTGACGAGTCGAGTGACTGAGTCGAGTCCTTCCGTAAAAGTTTTCGTCTGCTGCTTCTCCCTCCTACTATCAATAGGCAGACCGGCCGTTGAGTTCCCAAATTTGACGTGACCATACAGTACTTCGGTCTGAATGCAAGTAACTCCAAATAAAATAAGTCAGCGGGAGCTGCGATACCTCGGCAGAAAGACAGATAGAAGAAGGAGGATCATGTTCGAGATTGCACCCATCTTTCAAGCCAGCCCTGGCGACAACACCCGACTACGTCGTGTGTTGCCGCCCGGTATCATTCATTCCCTCATTGCAACCTTCTTTTTATTAAGCTAGCCCTGGCGACAACACCCGACTACGTCGTGTATTGCCGCCCGCTACTCTATAATTTACCAGCTGCCATTCCCTTATTGTAACTCTAACCTTACAGCTCCTGCTGGCTTATTGTGCTGTTGTGCTGATTGCACTAACCTTAAATATTAATGATTTATTCCTACCCCTAACTTGTATTGAACCATCAATGTTCAGTTTTGTTGGCTTATGACTATCTCTATCCTTATACTTTGGCTTCACCGGAATAGGAAATAGGAAATAGCATTAAGGTGGTCAAACCCAGGATGTAAGCCAGCTTTAAGCTGTTAATATTCGCACCAATTTCATCGCGAGAGATCTAGTAAAACAACAAACAATCGATCCAACACCAGCTGCTGCTAAAGGTGAGCTGTAATCGATGGATAGTTCGTCGATTCAACCTCTATCAATGCAGGACGTCTGTGTAATAGTAGTATCGAGCATTGTATGGCGGAAGAACAGCCATTATTCCGGTCCACCTTTCTGTTATCTTGGAGCGACAGAAGGCAATCGAAACTTTCGATCGCTGCTTTCTAGCCGATAAATCTTGTTGCCCGCTGGTGCTATGGCCCCGCAACCAGCTACTACTCTCTTCCTTACACTATAAGGAAGAGATAAACGTTTGGTTGTAGGGCTTTATATTGAGCAGGCGCCAAGAGAATGAGGTCTCTAACACACACAGTCGATTTTTCGACCTGATAGCAGTTTTGCTTGTTCCTCAGCAACGGGAGGAATCCTGCTTTCTTTTGTTGACCGAATTCGAAATCCGGCGAACAGGCACAAAACGTGTTTTTTGTACTATTTTACTATATGGATCGCCAGCCAGTCGCCAGCCAGTCACCGTGCAGCTTGAAATTGTGAGTGTCAAATTTTGAACCTTTTACAACGGCCAAGAATTTCGAACAATTATGTGAGTTCATATCTATTAGACATGTATGTTGAAAGTTGAAGGAAACATCTCTTTACGTTCGCTCGCTCCGTACGGCATCAACAGTCGACAAACTACTCTAGAGTACGTCGTGGCAACAAGCTTCATTACGAACAAAGATAGCTAGCTAGCTATTTCACTTTAGATGGCATTGCTGCCAGCATCACTGTCACTGTCATCATCAAGGGCTCCGACATTGTCTTCCTCATTGTCTCCATCAAGTGCATCGAAGGGAATGCACTCCAAATCAGCCAAATCGTTGGTTCCATCCTCCACCATTTTAGCCAAATCTTGAGCTGTTTCCTCTGGGCTTACTCCTCCTCAATTTCAGCTTCTGGGATGCTAGCTGCCTGGCTAGAAGCACTAGCACCTGGAATAGAAGCTGCAATTGGAGTGCTGGCAGCCAGCTCTGATAGTAGCTTCCCAGTCAACCTATCGAACAGCAATTCAGCCTTGGAATCGCCTATCTTGAGGCAGCTCTTGGATTTGGTCGAAACATGCCCCTTGTTACCGCAGAACGGGCAAAACTTTCCTTTGCTAGTTGTCGTCTTTGTCGTTTTCCTCTTCTTTGCAGGCCGTTTTGCGGCATTCTCGCATCGATCCGTGCCGCCTCAGCAGGAAGCTGCTCTTGCGGAAGATCCAAATTCATGCCCGGGCGGTAGCATTTGTGTCGTTTCGCCCATGACTTCTTCGTGGCAATGGTTTCAATACGGATCCTCTCGTTCTTCTTTTCTGCCCGGTATTTTTTGTACTCTGGAGTCTTCAGCCGGTCCAATCGTTTCTGCCTAGCATCCTGTCGGAACGTCAGGTAATGCTGGACGTGTGGAGTCATGTCAATGCCGAGCTTGACAAATAGACGGTTGAAAAAGTCGACATATCCAAGGGAGACGATGCCGATGGCCAAGGCAAGACGGTTGGCTAGCGAACAGGACCCGGAAAAGACTTTGTTCTTGGGTGCGAACCAGGTACAGACGCTGTTGAATGACTCGTTTGCATTCGTGTCCAAGCCGTGGGCAATCTCTCTCAGTCGCTCAAGTTCACAGTAGCGCCCCATTTTCTTCTTTAGCAGCTCGTACAGTTCCGCATCTTCTTTCTTGTCGCGGTAGTACTTCTTGCTAGCAAGTTGCTCAGCTTCCGTTGCCTTGCAGCGAGCGCACCAATCACCGCATTTGTCGTGCGAATCAAAATGGTGCTCCAAACAGGCCCAAGCAACGTCAACAAATTCGGATTCATCCCGGTCTTTGAGTGTGCGGGCCATGTAACCGTAATTCTTGCCAAGATGAATGGAATCCAACCTCGTCATTGTCTTCTTGTCGGCAACCTTGGCCAAATCCAACGAATAGTTCCCGGTCAACTGTTTGCGGCGGTGGTTGGGATCAGCACAAAATTTGGGCTCGGGAATATGGCCGGGTAATTTCCCTTTGTCGGGGCGGTCTTGAAGCTCACCCTTATTCTTTCCTTTTCGTCTTGGGAACCTGCGGTAGAACGGTAGTGTTGTTGTTGATAAGATAGTCTTTGTTTAACCACTTCAAATCAGCTCGAATGGACGAGTCGTCGTCGCAGCAAAGGAGCTCTACAATAATGCCTTTATTGTCGTATAGATCAGTCACGATTTCCAAGGCCAAAGCCGCTTCCATGGCACCAGAAGAATCGTTTGGATCGTGGTTGCGGGGACAATAGTGCTCTGGATAATCAGGACGAGTATCGGCATCAGGGTGATCCTTTTCATGCCGTTCGCATGTGCCGCACTTCTTGCTCTTTTGACCGAACGCAACAACCTTTCGGGTCATGGCACCAACCAAACTACCGTGGCCAGACGATGAATTGTAGAGAAGGCCGGATCCTTTCTGCTGCCAAGCGCCGTCGTACGATCCCTTCAATTTGATCTTGACGGGATGGTCCTTATGCTGCTCTGGGATTGACATCTTCCACGCCAAATAATGTTCTTCCGTGGTTGATCGTCTGACTTCCTCGTCCAGATTTTCCATCAGGATTTCGTCCCTCAATTCGCGCAAGATATGGCCAATCCTTCGCTCTATGGTGGGAAACGTTTTGCCCGCCATTGTGGTATCATTCGGTAGCCCCATCAATCCAAGCAATTTGCCGGCTTCTACTCCACCGTCACCATTCGCAAGGTTCCCAAGGACGAATAATAGATTGAGCTGATAATCGGTGCTTCTCTCGTATTTCTTGTCGTCGGTATGCATTGTTGTCTTTGCCGGAATTGGTAATTCGTAGACGTAATCACATTCTTCGTTCGCACATCTCAGTCGCACTTGTGAAACAATGCCGCAGTTGTGCACGTTCATTATCAATGGCATTGGCTTGTCGTCAAATGCAATGAGGGCATTTGGCAAAATCGCAACTAGCTTTTCAAGTTGAGTCGTCTCCAAAAGGAGGCGGCTTGCGGCTTTGGTATTGAATCAGTGACGGTGAGTTCATTGTCGTCGTCTTCTTCGGTGGCTAGCCTCTTCTTCTTCAGCTGTAGTTGCTCCTTCGGTTGCAACCTCGTCTGCTACAATATCGTCCTGAAACAGGAGTCTCTTCCCATGTTTGTTGGTACCGCTGTTGGCATTTCGAGTCGTCCTTCCAGTGCTAGGAACACATTCGTTTACTCCAGCCAGCTTATTCCAACCAGTGCCACTTGCACTAAGCTTTGCTATTTCACTGCTAGCTGATGGCTTCCATTTGGTGCGTTGTGTGGGAGTTGTCATAGTGATATCTTCAGGCGAAACGCAGATGTTGAATTGCCGCTAACTAATGTGCGCTGAGTGAAGCTTCTTCATTCTGACGAGTTGTGCAGGGTCCAACGAGTTGAAGATTTGGCTCCAAAATGACGACTCGGCCTGCTCTAACGGATTTCATTCATGCTACATACAATCGAAAGACTTATGCACAGAGGTGCGCGAAGCTAGACCAAGAATCCGGCGAGTTTTAGAATATTACCACCCATCGAAATTCCAAATTCCGTACATATGCAAAAGATCTTATGTTTCGAACGTCACTATTTTTCGCAGACTAAAGCTGGCTTACATCCTGGGTTCCACCACCTTAATAAGTCAGCGGGAGCTGCGATACCTCGGCAGAAAGACAGATAGAAGAAGGAGGATCATGTTCGAGATTGCACCCATCTTTCAAGTCAGCCCTGGCGACAACACCCGACTACGTCGTGTGTTGCCGCCCGGTATCATTCATTCCCTCATTGCAACCTTCTTTTAAGCTAGCCCTGGCGACAACACCCGACTACGGACTACGTCGTGTGTTGCCGCCCGCTACTCTATAATTTACCAGCTGCCATTCCCTTATTGTAACTCTAACCTTTACAACTCCTGCTGGCTTATTGTGCTGTTGTGCTGATTGCACTAACCTTAAATACTAATGATTTATTCCTACCCCTAACTTGTATTGAATCATCAATGTTCAGTTTTGTTGGCTTATGACTATCTCTATCCTTATACTTTGGCTTCACCGGAATAGGAAATAGGAAATAGGAAATAGAAAATAGGAAATAGGAAATAGGAAATAGGAAATAGAAAATAGAAAATAGGAAATAGGAAATAGGAAATAGGAAATAGCATTAAAGGGGTTGAGAACTCAGGCAGTTTACCTGCCGAGGTAAAGGGGTTGAGAACTCAGGCAGTTTACCTGCCGAGGTGATCAAACGAACAAACAAAACTTCTCTGGGGTTGCATGACTGTGTGTTGCTATCAATACCGTCTCTCAAACTCTATGGCATGGTACTACTAGATAGCCATAGGTGGTAACAGGGATACAAAAATGGGATCAATATCATCCGGTTTCCTTTGGATCGTAGTCATGGGGGCATTGCTGCTGTGTGGTGGCCATCCGGCATCGGTACGAGCCACCGGCACTTCAGAGAGCAAGAATCAGGACCAACAACAGGAACATTTATTTATTAACCCTATCTGCTGAAGATGAGTTAACCAACAGGGTACTTGAGGAAATGATGGCTCGTCGGGGTCACATGCACACTCAATCCAATTGGAATGGACGTAGACTGCATCACAAGACCAGCGCTGGCCATTCAAAATCTTCCAAAACAAAACGTCAAAATGTGCCAAAGTATGGTCGAAGACACTACAACCCCTACCTCTATCACAATGGTGATCTCTACCAGGATGACAACACTCTCGAGTTTGACAGTGAGGACGATGATGACGAGATTGAGGGTGTAACCTGCATTGGCCTAGCCAACAAAAAGTACCGAAAGGGGAAAAAGAGCAACAAAGGGAAAAAGTACCAACACTACAAACATCGCAAATCTGGCGCCAAGAAGGGGCACAAATACAAGCACAAATCGCTCCGACATGCTTCCAAAAGCAAGTCGAAAAGCAAGAGCAAATCCAAATCTTTCAAGAGGAAAGAGTACTTTGAATACTGTGAAGATGAGGTGCCAGTAGTGGAAGAAACTCCGGAGCCAGTGGAAGAAACGCCGGAGTTAGTGGAAGAAACTCTGGAGCCAGTGGAAGAAATTCTGGAGCCAGTGTTGGAAGAAATTCTGTGCAGCGCAAACGTGGAAGACTTTCGTTCTTCGGTGGGCCTCCAGTTCAGTGGTAGTCCACAGTTCTTGACGGGTCCGGAACAAATCGCTCTGGAAAACAGCTTTCAGGAAACATACAATGGTAGGTTGGCTGCAACATCTAGCAGCCTTGCATTGAATCTGTGACATCACACAAGTCCAAATTTCTCACATATCCTCACCCCATGCATCCACAGTGCTCACCTTTGCAAATTGTGATGGATACTTTCGAAGCATTGAGGGGGTCAGCTTGTTTGTCCCTGGGGAGCGACCTAGCTATTGTTGATCGAATCACTTTGTGAATTGGTCTGGAACACCGGATCCATGGAAACAACAAAACCATTTGGGGGGCTGGCTGGTTCGAAGCACGACCATGACAGCATCCGATCTTGGCGCTGACTGCGTTGCTGCACCAGGCTACAATGAACACAAACAAGTCTGGAAAAGAAGTTATTTGCACTTCTTCATCCCTCTTCACTGCGCCAACTTGCTTCCAAGGCAAGTCCGTACCACTGGATGTTTATTTGTACAGCTACAATGTCCTTGAAAGTCTCCAGTTGGAGTGAATACGATAGTGCACTGATCAAGTACGTCTCTGGTCCAGTCTGTGAGGAGTCGATCCCCGGTAACCAAGCCAAGCGGATCCTTCTTCCTGACATCTCCAAGAAGGAAGCTCGCCGCCTTGGAGAGGGAAACTCTGAAGCACTGCCAAGGTTGCCTTTGCACGATTGAAGATTGATGCACAATCCGCTCTTTGCCAATCTGTCTGTGATGTCACTGCCACCAATGATCTCGATCAAGCGATGCATGAGTGGGGCTTTCTAGGTAATGGTGCATTCTTGTCAACCGTTTCATTCTATTCGTCAGTTCCAAGTAGTAGAGGTCTCGTTGTTGCACAGAATGCAAGTGAGACGAATGTATCCCTTTTGTCAGTTGCCAATAAGAAGCAGTTATAAAACATGTTGTGAATCGAATCGAGCTCCTTCCTGGTTCTGTCCGTGGAGATTGACAGTGAGAGGATGCCCTCAGAAGCGACACCAGCCGTGTACGGATCCCTCTTCCGTGTGGCGCATGTATGCAAGGAACCTCTCGCAACTGTGTCAAGGAATGGTGCCAGAAACCGCCAGCAGCAATCAAAGAAAACCAAGCGAACAGCATTCTGCCTGCGCAGGAGCAGTGATCTCAAGAAGGTCAAGAGCTCAGGCAAGAGCTCAGGCAGCACCGTCAGCGTCATCGCGGACGTGTTTTTTTGGATAACAAGTGCCGTACGTATCGATCTTTGGTGCTTTGGCCAAACTGGCTGGCAAACGAAGACCAACGGGAGCTACTTCACGAGCGGTATTTGGCACGGGGCAAATGAGTTGCTGTAAACGGAACAGCATGCAGTGAAACAAGCAGAAGACAAAGACACACCACAACAGCTCTGGCTGGGAAGAAAAACTCTTGTCCTGAGACATGAACTTCAAAGCTAGTTTATGAATGGTGCCGCATCATTGTGGCCACACTGCCAGCAAAACCGCTGCACCGTAGCGCGTATCCGAATCAATCGAATCGACCCTTCGGTTCTTTCCTTTTGCTGCTCCTTGAGATGTTTCTTGCCTCTTCATTTTACAGAGTCAAAATGACGGGGCAAACTTCCTCCGGCTTGACGTCACCACCGTTTTTGCCCTTGGCGGCCTTGCTACGCTTCTTGCTGAGTTGATCGAGAATTTGAGCCCGTTTGTGAACCTTTCTCAAAAAGGTGTCCTGCGATGTCGACGCCACCATTTTCGTGTGCTGTCGAACTTGCAAAATGGTACAATGACAGATCCATCCGACTTGTTTCTCCGTTTCCGTTTGACGTATTGTCTTTTGGAGTTCCAACGTTTGCGATTTCACTTTTGCTTGTAGCTGTTCCACCTTGTTGCGGAATTGATCTTGCGTGGCCTGCAAACACACCGTTCGTTCCTTTAATCGATCCGTGGTGTACTTTAATTCCCGCGTCGCCCGGGCAATGCGTCGATTGTTTTCGTGCAAATCTTCCATTTTTTGTTGAATATCGGCATTGGAATCTTGCACGGCCGTGACGCCCTTTTGGAGTTGCCGCTGTTCCTTTTCCAAATCGAGTTGCGACGGTGTCATGGTGGCAGCCTGATATTCTTCTCGCAATGCCTGCAGTTCCGGACTGTTCCGAATGGACTCCAGTTCTTGTTGTTTGGCTCGTTCCATGGCCTTGAGATGTTTTTGCAATTGTTTGATTTTGGTTTGTGCCGTTTGAATGACTTGTCGTACGAGATATCCTCGAGTTGCCCTTTGCAAATCCGCCACGAGTTGCGTTTTGCGATTCCACGCATTGGAGCCGACCATGGAGAGTCCCTGTACGGCCCGAATTTCATTGTATCGCTTTTCTTGTGCCGATTTGACCAAAGACGACGTCGTGGTCGAGGAGCCACGTGTGGCTGCTTTGGGCAATTTGGCAGTGACGCGTTTGGCTTTTTCTTCCGTCGTTAGAGCTGTGCTACTAGCACTAGTAGTAGTACTAGCCGTAGTGTTTGACTTTCGTGGCTTGTTGACTACCGCGACTTTGGTCACTTCCAACTTGGCATTGTGTTGTGCCGCGGACGCAGATTGTTGTTCTAATCTTGCCTTGATACTGGCTACTCCCGAGGCGGACACTCGACGAGGCGACGGAGGGTCAGGGATAGCAGTAGTAGCAGTAGTAGGCGTCGTCTCGACTACAGGTTTCTTGGTGGGGATACTGGTCATCGTGGACGCTCGACGCGATGGTTTCGCGGCTGGTGCTTTCGTGGTTGCCTTGGGATGAGGTGTCTTGGCGGCGGCGACGGTGGCAGCAACTTTTTGGGGTTTCTGCTCAGTGACGACCATTGGTTTGGTGGTTGTTTCTTCTTCTTCTTCTTTGGGAGATTCTTTCTTTTCTTCTTCTTCTGGCTTCTGCTGACTCTCTTGTGGGGTTGCTTTCCGCGTCAATGGTTCCGCCGTTCGCACTCGCCGCAATGCCGTGTTGCGTGGTCCTGTAAAATTGGAGACGGTTCGTTTGGGCCGTGCCCGTGTCGCTTTGGGTTTGTCACTGCTATCACCCGCACCATCAAACGTTCGATTGCGACGCGGCAGGACACGACGTCCCGTTCGTTTGGGACTACTTGTGGACGTGGTTTCTTGTGGTTTCGGTTCTTCTTCTTCTTTTGGTTTTTGGGGTGCCGGAATGGCAAAGTGATCGTGCGTGAGGGCTTGTTTTTTCTGGGTTTCTTCTTCTTCTTTTGGAGTGGACTGTTGTTTTTTGGAAGTACTGGTACTCGTATTTGGTTCAAACGATGCTCGTCGTGCACTGACCATTCCCGCCGCCGCCGCCGTATCTTGTTGGAGTCGTTGATATTGTTCTTGGGCTTCCTGCACCTTTTGGAGTTCCGACTCTGCCGCTTGACGTTTTTGAATTTCGTCTTCTCGGGCCCGTCTATTTTCGGCGGCTTCTTCGAGCATTCGCAAACTGGAACTTTTCTGTAGAGCGCGTCGCAAATTGGGATTGGGATTGCGCGGCACCACTCGATGACTGGAAATGGTCCGGGAGGGTTTCTTCTTTTTGCGACGGATCAGACTGTGCGTGCTGCCATCGAGATTGGTTGCGGAATGCATACTACTATTGAGATGAGCGCTGCTGTCGAGATTGTTCGCACTGCCATCGAGAAGATTGCTGCTATTGTTGTTGTTGTGGAGGATGCTGAGGCTGCTATCGTGGTTTCGACCGCCGACACGCAATTTTTCCTTGGTGATCAGAGGAGAATTGAGGGGACTCATAGCAGTAGCACTGCTAAATGCGGGTTTGTCGGCAGATGTGAACGATCCTCCCATGGCGGCCATGATTTCGACGGGAATTTCTTTTGTTTCTTCTTGGTTTTGTTGCTGTTGTTGTTGCTGTTGTTGTTTCTTTTCCAAGAGTTCCTTGGCTTGTTGATCTCGAACTTGCTGTTCCAGTTGCGCCAATGTCAATGCCGGCTCACCGTCGTCATCATCGTCGTCATCATCTATTGGCATGTTCATTGGGTTGCAATTGTTGTGCGCAAATTCCCAACTGTCAAACGAACTACCAGAATCCTCGTGAAATTCGTCGTCGTCGTCATCGTCATCGTCTTCGACACAAAAATCCTCCATGACGGCTTCCACTACAGAGGCTTCGCAGAACGAATCGTCCGGTTCAAACAACAGTATCGTTTCCAACATGAGCTCGGCTTCTTCCTTTTCATCGGCAAATCGGATGGAACGCGATCGCATGCTTCGCACAGGAATCTCGTCTTGGCTCTTTTTGATTCGTCGATTGTCATGAATGCGCGTTGCCTCCAAATTGAGAGGTTGGAAAAAGTCGTCCATTGTGGCGGTTGTCACAGTGCTCATCGTATTACTATAGTCTCTCTCTTTGTCTTGATGCTAGCTACCGTTAGCCAAGCCAAGAATGCAGTAGTACAGGGGTGACCAATATCTATCTTTTGGCCAGACCAGCCAAGAGCAAAATGATAGAGACAACCTTCTTGTCTGGTTTGGTTTTCTTCGCCTCGGTTGCTGTTTTCCCGTAAGATCCGGGATCATATCCGATGAAGTCATGGTGAACCCGCATCCACCAGCTTTATGCCTTTTCAACGACTCATACTTAGATCTTGCATCCCTTGAAGGCTACATGGGAGAAGTCGGAAATATTGCTTGTACCGTAGCCACTGCAAGCAGGACTATAAATCAGTTTTTTCAACAGTAAGAGGTGCAACACAGTTTTGCAACGTAAGAAAATGATGAGGGAAAAGGTACGTACTGATGTCATAAAACTGGTTGTACCTTACGCCGTCATTGCTCAAGTTTAGTTTGCAGCAATCAAGCACGCCAGTTTCGGGGATAGAGAGCCGAATCTACTGCTTTTCGTGGGTACCGGTAGGGTGCTCTTGCTCCTCCCGCGGGGGCGAAATGAGGATATTTGTTTCTACCTGGTTCTCGTCTACTCTAGTAGCTAGTTGTCCTTCCAGCCAGATCACCTATTAGGTCGGGTTTGTTCCAAAGGATTGAATGATATCGATTTATGAGATTTCAACAATGATCAATAGCAGAATACCTACTCTTCCACTCCGCATGAGAAAACATCCACACATCATTCAGAGCCGCCGTGCTAGCTATAGCTAGCTAGTACTGGTACCAAAATGTTGTTGTCTTTCCTTGGATCTTCCAGTAAGTTGCACCGGTCTTTCTCCTCTATATCAATCGATTACGCAAAGACTTACAACCACTTACCCTTTCTACTCCTAGTCATTCGGTCTATTCGTGTTATTAACTACGAGTTGAAGCATTATCAATGTCCCGTGTCTCCGACTTCCGAGTGTTCTCCCTCACTTTTTCCACCCCGAAGATTGTGTGGATGACAGCTCCATGGAGGACACATTTGTTGGCTAACTATCTAACATAGCAAGGGGGCTTTAGAGAAGGGAGGTTATCTACAATTGTTGGCTAAAGAGACCCAGGCTCACTTTGTTATTGTTGTAGAGAAGGGATGGGTCGACAAATAGGCAACGTTCTGGGCAGGATCAAGGTCATTGGTGTCCATGCCGAAGGGCACAAGGGCACCAACTAGCCAAGTAAGTTGTCCCAGCCAGCTCCTCTTGGCTCAGTGAAGAGGGATGAAGAATTGCAAATGGCTTTTTCCAGATGTGTGTGTGGTCATTGTGTAGCCTTGGTGCATAGTCAGCGCCAAGATCGAATGCTGTATGTTGAGGTTTCGTCATTCTTCTTCTTGGAACCAGCCACCACCCAACAGTTTTATGGTTACCATGGATCAGGTGTTCCGGATCCATTCACAAAGTGATTCGATCGCCAATATAGCTAGGAAAGTTTTGAGGGCACATCCAGCAACACCTCTGTAGTTGTCTTCACCACATGTGATTGCAGTTTTGGATAAAGATCCTCTGTAGAATCAGAACCAGGGTATACAGGAAATGACAGGTACCTTCCGATGCAGCAATCACGGGTGTATCTCGCGATGACTGGACCGAGACTTCCAAGGTCAGAGTGGAGCCCCGCCACTGGATCTGTCACTACAAATACAGATAAAGAATACACCCAATGCAAGCATAAACTACTACCATCTCTGTGTTTATCGAGTAAAGAAACCATTGGCATAAAAATCTTCATAACGCATATGGCCCCAATGAACAGATCATCATGGCAGCTGAAGCTTTGGGGAACCACACCCGGCCGAAGTGGGGATTGGCTTCACGGGGGGAGACCATAGCTGGGATCATCACCGGGGAACCTTCCTAGAAGATCACCCTCAATGAGAGCGGAGATGGAGACAATGTTGTTGATCATTCCAGTCCTTCGTAGATCTGATATGCGGCGATTGAGTTCAGCCTGCAACTCATTCTCAGATGGGGCTGCGGGACTGGGATCGTCAACATTGCCGCTCAGTGCAGGGCAGAGACAAACATCTTCATCCGGCCCAGTTTGTAGACCACGAACTCGTGAAGGATTACTTTTTTGCTGGAGTGGGTGTTCTGGATGGCACTGGAGGATCAGGTGGCCATGGCAGCCTTTCCATGAAATGTAATCTACGCCTCGTGTTTGCAAACATTGAAGACCAGCCATACTCACCATCGACGGGGCAGTCTCTGCAAGTTCCTGACACTTCAAACAAGTCTGAACTCCCTATTCCAGGATTTAACAAAGCGCCACTCGTCATTCTGAAATATCCATCACAGTTGGCAAAGGAGATGTCATTGTAAACTTGATCAAATAAAATGCCGAGAATGGCAATTTCCATGTCAGATAAAGCGGCTGCATCCCCATCAAACTCAACTTTAACATAGGTGACGAAGTTTTTCATGTTGGAGTTGCATGTTACCTCCATTTCTTCAACAACGGGAACCTCTTCCAGAGACAAGACAGCACCCACATTGGTGACCGTGCCCTCCTCAACCAACCTCTTAATATCAGCATTATAGGTGAATACAAAATCCTCTTCTGAGGGTGCATTGGGTTCCAGATCTTCCTGTGCGTAGCTAGCCAAGAGTTTGAGAGACGGCATTGATGGCAACAACGGCAACAACGGCAACCCAGAGAAATTTGAACGCAACGGCCATGATTCTGTGAGGGAGAAGCAGTGTACTAGTACGCTGCCACTACTCACGTGTTTGTTTGTTTGTTTGTTTGTTTGTTTGTTTGTTTGTTTGTTTGTTTGTTTGTTTGTTTGTTTGTTTGTTTGTTTGTTTGTTTGTTTGTTTGTTTGCGGTACAACTAGGTGCAGTGACAGCCACACGGTCACCATAGATTTTAGAACGTGGATTCAAATCGGAGTTCTCATCGTGACATGGTGACGTCTCATGAGGAACTCCTTCGTGAATATGGGTAAGGTGAGAGGGAGTTCTGTTTTCTCATTCCCTTTTTTCTTGTTCGAAGAAAAAGCCACCATGAAGATGCTCTTGTTGTGTTATTGCTGTCTGCTCGCATCCATTACTATTGGCTCTGTTGTGGGCTCTCTCTCTGTAACGGAACTTACTAGTGGAACCAGTGCTTTTGTCCGAGTAAGTGGTACGGTAGAAATATCAAACAAAATATTGACGGAAAGGCAGTCCGGCATGTTGTTGACTCAATAATATTCTACGATTGCTTTCTTCTCGCTACTACTGGCTAGCCAGGTCAAAACAGAACCCAGTTTCAACTTTTACCAGCTCAATACGGACACGGCATCTGGCAGCAAGACCACATGTACCATTTCCAGCATTCAAGTCGTCAATTTGATTTTGGCCATTCGGTATGGAGATCTTCCAGATGCATTTGGCACGGCCGACTGCGTGTCCGATACCAGTGGTACGTAATGTAGGTGCATGCATGCAGTCGCCGGTTCGTCATGATCACTCAACTCAATAATCATGGACGCCATCGTTTCCTTTTGTTTTGTGTATTCATTAGGCAGCGCGGTGGGAAGCAATTCCGAGACATGCGAAGCCACAGCCGCCTCCGATTCTCGAGCGTACGTACAGGTGGTGGCAGATGATGCCTCCACGTCCAATGCCGAGAACGCCCTGGATATTCTGTGTACGACCACGGCGCCCACCAGTACGTCGGAACCAGATACAGGAGGCGGAGCCTGTTTTTCCGGTGACATGACGGTCCGTGTCCGCGATAGAGAATGGCCGGTGAAAATGAAAGACTTGCAAGTGGGAGATTGGGTGCTGCAAACGCAGCAAACCACACATGAGAATGATGAGTACGAGTATGAGTATCAACCCATCTATGCCATGGCACACGTAGAGGAGGATGCAGTGATGGAATATCTGGAGATTGAAACGGAGCATGCCCCAAAACCTTTGGTCGTTTCCAGGGACCATTTGGTGTTTTTGGAAGGAACCAAACATCCAGTGGCGGCCCAAAATCTTGCCGTTGGAGACTCGCTCTTTCTAATGGACACGACAACAATCCACAACAATGCCACCACCACCACCACCACCACACGAATTACCAACATTGGAACGACCTACCGACGGGGCAAGTATGCTCCTCTCACACCCGATGGGACCATTGTGGTCAATGGCATTGTGGCATCGACCTACGTAGCCATCTTGGGAAAGGACATGATGGAGCTACAACAACACTATCGCATCATGTCCTGGCATACATTTATTCATGTCTTGTACATGGCTCCCATTCGAATGGCATGTGTCCATCATGGAAGAGTCTGCCCCGATTACCTGTTTGCCAGGGATCCCGCAACCGGCTATGCCAAGTTTGTGGCTGCCGGATTCCAAATGGCAGAATGGGTCCATCGACAAAACATGCCGGTACAACTCTTCTTGTTGATATTGACCATGGTGGTGCTAGGACCATTGGCCCTGTTGGAACAAATGGGCCTCTTCCGCATTCTTTCCTGCATCTCTGCTGCAACGATCATGCGAGGAACAAGACGGTTGAAAAAGAATCGAGGGACAAAGCAAACGACGAAGTAGACTACTAGTATACACTGGTAGCTTTTTGCCCTCCTCAATATGCTTCATACCAGGTACCTAGCTGGCCGCTAGCTACAGTTGGTTCTACACCCAGTTAGAGCATGCGGAGTGTCCTATGATCAAAAGAGCAAGAATGGTAGCATAAAAGATACTACAGCCAAATTGGTTTATCAACAACTTTCCAGGAGGCCGGATTCTGAATCCGGCCTCTCTTTCCTCATCCAATCCTCTTTCCACAAAGAGTCCAGCCTCTCTTTCCCTCATTCAATCTTTCCACGAGGCCGGATAACGTTTCAGGTACTTGGCAAGCTTGTGATTCTCCATACAAATGTTGCCAATGCCATTGTAGAAGAGCGTGAGCAATCCCTCTGAGAAGCCAGTGTCCATTTCAAGTATCTCTGACTTGTCATGGTGATGGTCAATGCACTTGATGCAATACCCAAAAGCTTCCTCTTGGTTCTTTTTTGCAGTTCCTTCATCTCATACCTCAACCTCAGTTCGCAAATGAGATCCAATGCCTCACCTCACACGAATATTTTCGGTTAGAGATAGGAATGATATGCCTCATCGTTCATCGCTCCAACCAAGGAAGTGACGAGGCTCCATGCAAAGTTCACAGTTCTCAGCAGTGGGGATTGGAGTGGGTGTCGGGTGGTGGGTGTTGCTGTTGGTCCAGAAATCTCCACCTCAAACTTCTCTTCGAAGTGCGCAAATGACTTCCCAGTGAAAACTTTTTGAGCAATCCTGTCATTATCGATTCCAAACCGCTGCAAATATGTGAGATCGTTGGCCTCCATGCATTGCTCACAAGATGTGACGATTGGTGTTTCTGCTAGAAAGCAGTAATAGCAATCATGAGACGGCAGTTGACTTTTCCATGAACTTCGGGATACCGTATACTCTGAAGAAACTTTTGGAGTGATGATACCAGCTTGTACGACAGGTGCGATGTCAAGCTTCGCCATAGCGTCAATATCGTTGAATACAACAGCACAAATCATGATAGATTCTGTAGTTTTCAAGGGTGTACATGTAAAGCTCATTGCATGGCATGCAAACACAACTGTGTCATGACAAACTGGGAAAACATGGCCTAAAAATTTTGTTAAATGAAAGAGAACAAACGATTCCGTGCATTTAGGCATTCGACTTCTAATTCCTTTTAAAACTCCTTTTCACAATGGCAAAAAGGGCTACAGTACTCGGAGTACTCAGTATGGCACCGGTACCGTACCGGTACCACACTTGGAACTGCCAATGATTTCTCAAAAGCGGCGATTTGTCAAAGTTAAAAGTACAGTATGATGTCTGTTTGGTACTGTACCCTTGCGGCAGGCGGTTATGCACATTTGACGGTCACATTGCCGTTTTGCCGTGAGGTTGGAAACAATGTGGAGGGCACTTTGGGTGTTGGATTGTAGGGATTCCACCCGTTCGTATGTGTGTTGCCCGAAATGTGCCTGCTGTTCTCCTGTCAAATGAGACGATTGAATATCGAATTGAATCCAATCGGAAAAGGTAGCTTCTCGACAAGCTATGTAGGTACTAGTAGATACAGAGAGAGCTAGATAGCTGCCGGTAGCTAGCTATAGAAGAGGAGATTGTTTTTGCGTGCATGCTTCCATTGATTCAGTCGGCTCATTGGATATGATATTGGACTACATACAGTAGGTGCTTAAATACTGCAAGAACATCGTCATGGTTGGCCTGCAGGCAGAGTCTTGGTGGATGTCATTACACAATCCAACTCGATAGCTACCAACTACGCAGCTCCTACTCTAGCTAGCAAGACCAGCATGATGTAGAGAGGGAGGGGGCGCCGTATCACTGGTGTTGATTGCGGCGGCCTGCTCTTGACAAACGAGCGAGGAGATTTTCGTCGTCATTGTCATCCGTCGTGGCGTTTTAATTCCTGTGCTCGACTCGTCGATTAGTTAGAAATGGTAGGAGTATTCCGTATTTCTTTCTGGCAGCCACGACGTTCGATTGGTCCGTGCGTGGCTTCAAAAAGAAGGAAGGGACTGATTAGCTAGTTGTCTTTGGATTCCTTCTTGTTTTTGTTGTTGTTGTCATTCCTGTCTTCTTCTTGACTTGTGGATAATTGTACCTCAATGTAATCCGGGTTGGATGATGGAGGAGGAATAGGCGGTGGGAGCTCGGAACCATTGCTTTCAGCAGTGTCGATTGTGGATGGGATGACAATGACGGGTATTTCGACTTGATTTTCGACGTCTGTAGGGGCATTGTTGTTTTGGTTTGGACTAGTGGCTTGTGTGCTGGTGGGAGTATTCGGTTTGTTGTTGTCGGTTGTAGTGGTTGCATTAATATCCATGTTGGGAGCAGTGGTATGAGTTTGTGGAGTGTCGTCTTCTTTGTTTTCAAAGAACTTTTTGTAAATGGCAAACCCCGCGGCTCCCAGTAGAATGATACACGTGATAATGGCAAGTTGTCGAATAAAAATGGCCAGGAGTACTCCACATAGAACACAGGAGATTTCGACGACGGTGATGCATGGCTGACAACATCCGGCACAGCACGTCAATCCAATGAGCCGAATGAGCATTTTGAAGAGATGAATGCAGAGTGCCAATACAATCCCCGTCAACACCAAGACCACTTTGACAAACCACAAGACTCCATCCGCTACCAGCAATCGTCTGTCTCCCGCAGCGGCGGCTTGTGCGGCATCCAGCAATCCCAGAGTCCCCAACGAGCCAAAGATACTCAGTACGGGCACCACAAAGACTTCGATCGAATCAATGGCTTCATCGAGGACGGGAATGCATTTGCCGAGAAACTCCAATCCAGTGAGAATTCCTAAAATGATGATTGCAATCCAACTGCTCAAGACCTTTTCAATCCATCCATCCATGTGCAACAACTCGGGATCCGATTTCTCAATGACCCCAATTAGGAAGAGTGTGAAAAAGGGACTGATCCCCGTGTTTCCCGACACGGTCAAACTGACGGCGGAAGACGTCAAATAGTCAAATATGGAGCTCATGGTGATTGTCTTTTTTTTATTAGAAAGAGAGAGCGGGACAATAAAAGAGGGGACGGTAGAGAGGTATCCAAGTAAATAATGAGAAAGAAGTGGGTCATGGCACGGCTCACAGTAGATCTTGGATCTAGGCTGTTGCGGAACAGGAACCGGAACAGCTCCTTAACCCTCATGGTCTTCCGTGCTGTTGCTTCCCGGGAATGCATGATTTGTGAGTCCTGCATGGCTTCACCCAACCGAATATTCGAATGCGATGCGGTGGCTGTGGTACCGTATCGTGTGGCCTTTGAGCGAAGGAAGGACAACCTCACACATCCCATGGGTACCAGTACAGCGTACTAGTACCGGTACGGTGGAAAGAAGAGTTCCTGCTGGTCCAGGCCGCGCACGAAAGATAGATAAGAGGAGCATCGGACTGGACTCACAGCAAACAAAAACTGAACGTCGATTACATGTAACCGATTCGATTCAGAAAAGATTAGATGTATGTGCTTGAGGACGACCCACGAGCAAGCGAGGCCCGGGTATTCATGAGCCACAATGCCACAATGAAGAGCAGCCAAGCAAAAGATCCAGATCTGGCCAGAGAAGAGACCGCTGCTGGCATGGAAAGGTTTCTCCACATCTTGCCTAGTCTACTAATTGATGGAAGGAAGGAAGAGTTCCAGCTACCAAGTTCCAACCTTACGAAGAGCAAACGAGTGCAACATTCCCCTGTCACGTCGGAGGAAATCCATGTGGAATGTGGACGTCCCAGGCAGCAGTGACTAAGACTCTGCCGAAGCAGTTAGTTGGCGAAGTCTGCAATTGAAGAAGAGGTCAAAAGCTGAAATTGTTAGCTGTCGTGTACGCTGAAGAATCCCACTGCTTCAGGATACCCGACCGCGCTGACCACAGACCACAAAGCTGCAGAACCGCGCGCAGAACCATTCCATCTTCATGCTTGAGCTACATGTATGCTTGTCAGCTTGTCAGTTGTCAGAAGATGTTGCGTTTGGTACCGGTGGATCTACTTCGAGGCTGAAGAAACCCACTGCATGTACTGTACCAAGCTGTTTCGGCTGATACTTTTAAATACTGAGTAGGATATAAGATACCGCTCCAGTGTTCCAGTTCACGCAGAGCACAAAGCTGCAAAATAGATCATAAAAACTGTACCGGTAAAGGGTTGAGGTGCTGGACCGTCCGACGGTTTCCGCTCATGAATCAGACAAAAAAAACTTGCCTCGAACGGTCCTCAAAAAAGGGCATGTTTTAAGGGCATGTTTATTTAAGGGCATGTTTATTTAAGGGCATGTTCTCTGGTGTTTCAATGAAGGCTTAAGGGCATGGTTTGAGGCATTAGGGGCATGTTCCATTCCGCCCTCGCTGCACCGGAAACATTCTCCCCTTGGTCAGTTTCAATCTCTTTGGCAAGGTTGGTTCGAGCGATAGCTACTTGGCTGACGATTGACGATGCTGTGGCCGTGTGAAGAAATGCATTGAACCCCCCCCCCCCGAAAAGTGGCGGGCCGCGTCGGATTTTGCCTTTGTCATGACGTTTGAACAACGTCAAGGATCCAGCGGGGTGTGTGCTGTGGCGGCCGTTTATGGAGCTACCCTTCCGCTCGCTCAGCGCCATCCCCTGCACATGTTGTTCATGGTGGTGGCAGCGTGCATGTTTTTGGGCAATCTTCATCATGCCACGGGAAAACCATTCTTAGTCGGATGCAACCCCATGATTACCCCGGCTGGAAGGGGCCTTGATATTGTCTTTGTACCCTTTTGGATCGCGATATTTGTGCTCAATTACATGGGCTTCCAGGACTCCAAGGCAGCCATTGGAAAGTCGAACTAGACTAGAGCCCTATCTCTCGACCGTGTCTAATAACGGGCCGAGTCATTTTAGTGTACTTGAACGTAACGAGTAATAAAACTGGTGAATGTGCGAGAAGAAAAACTACTCCAACTATACTACAACCGTTGATACAGAACTCATTGTGGTGGTCTTTCAAGTGAGAGGAGAGGATGGTGTGAACCGTCCCAACAAACCGGGAGATGATTGATAAACTTTGGTTTACAATGCAGTCAGAGGGAGCATGGATCGATGTCAGAGGACCAGTGCAATGGGCGAAAGCGTGAGCCGAGCGAGCAGCCAGGAGAACAAACTGAGCAAAGGAG